GATAGAATAATAAATGACTTTGACTTTGAAGCAGCCCCACCTGCAGATCATGACGAAGTCTTATATACTGGAGCACTTCATTGCGCATGGCGTGCGATGGATAAGTCGCAACCCAAGATTTGAAGATCCATGCTAGACTGAATGCAAGTCCTGTTCCCAATCTGTATTACAGGGTGACTTTCGTTCGGCTAGGTCAATTTACAACACGGGGCTACCAGCGTAGCTTTCGAAGCGAACAATTGTGTTGAGGTAGTGGTTAATTTACCCGATCGAACACTGTCACCTGCCTTAGGAGCTCTGCAGCGCTAAGGTATCGTGTATTCCATCGGTAGTGGCACCAATATGCAAACGTAAAATTTCGATTCTTATTGCGATCACTTGAAAACTTCTCTTAAAGAATGGTGGTGAAAAGCGACACAATGTCGGTGAGACAATAGCATGAGATTGCCGTTAAATATCCCCCTGTGTCACCCAAGCAAATTTTGTTTACTAAGAAAACAAGCAGTCAGCGTACAGAATGAAAAGTTAGTTAAATGTACCTAAAAAAAGCGTGGTGATGAAGCAATAGTATGAGTAACGTTGTGTGCTTTTGTACCAGCGAGCTGAAAGGCCTAAATTGGTGGGAGCAATATGTTATGTCGCATTCAACCCTGTCTCTTTCTGTGTGTTTTGCTCCTTTATATTTATTGGAGCAACATAGTTCTAAACGCATCCAAGCACAATGTCGTGAAACAGATCGCTCTCTTATTAAGAATTCTACTACAATTTGAACATAATAAAGGGAGCAATTGTGTGAAACAACCGAAAAACAGCCAGGGAATGCCCCAGTCAGGATGCACTAGCTAGTACAATGCTGTTCTGACTTACGATCATATTACCACGATTACATGTGCATGTGCGGAATTCCCATCTACGTTTACGTGCTCGGGGACGCCGAAAAAAACCAGAAGAATCCATGTTCAAAGAAGTAATCGCTGTTAGTTGCAAGCACGGACTGCCCCAATGTTTGGTGGTTCTATTTGTTTTTTGTTCACACTCCATTACGAAGCAGAGACAGGTAAAGCATGGCGGCAGAAACAGGCCTGCTCCACTACACCTTGCTAAGAGGTTACATCTGCCTCTCTCTAAAACGGTGCATTGTCTGCGGTCCCTAATCACCACCTAGGACGAAAGAAAGAAGCACCATACAACCCCCGCCTGTGTGATTTTATCGTGCCCAGCCTACGCGTGTTTCTGCGAAAGCTGCATGAAAACGAAAGAGAGCCTTTGCGAAACTTGATGGCCTGTTTCTTGATAATAGTCGGGCAAGGGAACATCTCTCCGGCATTGTTCTGCGAAGTAAACTGAGCCGAGGAGCAATTCGAGGGGCACGTTGTAGGTGACTAAGAGGTCTCATTTTTTGCAGATCTTTGTATTTCCTCCTGTTTGACACGTGCAGAATTTTCCTGCACACACCAACGCTTTCGGAGAAAGTTCGAGCCAGTACTATACAAATCAGCTGGGCACATTGGCATTCTAATAGAAAATACATGTACTTGCCTCATCAGTGAACGAATGTGTTGTTTTTCACTCCCCCTCTTCATGCAGTTTTGAGTCATCGACATCATCCTGACTATATGTGTATACCACTTCGAAGAAGTGTAACCCAGTGCCAGACGTGTAGTCAGAAGTTTTATTCAGCGAGGGGGCCACCTCCTTGATCACGGACGGGTACCTCTTGAAACCGTCCCTTTTTGCTATCTATGCTATGGCGGAAAAAAACTTCGGTGTGGTGGAGGGGGGGAAACTGGCCTGGTGTACTACCATTTGGTTATGCTCTTCCCCAGTGATCTCTGATTACAACCATCTTCTATCAGCTCGCTCCAACGTATTTCTACTGAACTGTTATTATAAAATGAAAATAGGATTCGCCAATTTATCAGGACAAACGTCCAAAAGATGCATGAGCCGGGTTTCTGTGTTAAGCAAGCTGCGCAAGCACGATCCCGCACACACGCGAGTGACTTCACTTTAATGCAAATATAGTGTGTATACAAAAACATTTATCCCCTTCCAACAATATCGTTATCAAAGAAAATGAAGCGCATCTACAGAAAAAATCTAATTATCTATTTCTGGTGAGCCCTTACTTAGTACAATTATTACCAGTTTTTAAAGATTAATGACAACTCACCGAAAACAGTGCCATAGAAAGGATAAGGGATGTTGTTAAAGGAATTCTAGGGCACATGGGAAGAAACGAAAGTGAACTAGGAGTGGACGATGCAGAATACCATGCACTGAGACATAATCCCTCCAACCGCTTTGTAGCGTATAAGTTATTGGGGTATTTTATAGAGTATAAAGCTAATGGTATACTGCCGGTCATTACTTGCTGTGATGCCCGTCTTATTCACTTCGATAAATTTTTCATTCTTTATGTGTGTTTTTTACGTGAGCTCACTAAATACGTAATCTAGATTGGCGTGAATACTGCCGAACTACGCTACTGACACGTTTATTACATACCAACTCGGGCATCTTCCTACCTTGTGGCTGACAGGCTTTACTGAGGAGCCATTTCCTTGACCTGAATTGAGGGCTGGGCAAAGTTTCTTTAGTCTAGTGTTGCTTTAGTGTTCAATATTTTGTGATAGTGATTAATCATGCTTGATATTTTGTAATTACACGAGCTGCTCATTCTTTGTGTGCCTTCCGCGAAGCATCGATACTGTCACTAGGCAAGCTTTGGCTGCGTAAAACGGAAAACAATTATTGACACAAAGCGTTACTGGGGAGTTTTCAACTGTTCTCGAATGATTTCGGCTTAAATAGAAAATATACTGACCATTTTACGTTGAATAATAAATGGCTATAGATTGTGATAGACATTTTTGTTTTTACGTTAGATAACTAGTAAACTTTTTATAGAACCAAACCCGTCATTAAGCTGTCAGAATGAACGATTCGCCATAGTGGTATTTTGTGATTTGAAATAGAAGGAGCTGTGATTTGAAATAGAAAACACACGCGCATGACTCCATTCAACAATGCTTATTGAAAAAACTAGTGCTGATAATGCAGATAATCTCGTTCCGTTTTGCGAACCATTCTTTTCTTGGGGGGGGGGGGGGGCTAGTTGGAAGGAAGCTGCCGTACCTCTTAATGAAGTTTGCTAATTTATTCAATAATTCATATACCTAGTCGGTCAATCACTTCTGGAAGGAAAAATGTCGTAGTGCAAAGCAACACACGGAGAGACAGAGAGCTAACCTTACAAAAGTCAGGAATTTTTTAAGGGTAGCGCCAGTGCCGTGCTCTTTGTCAGTGCGTTGCTTATGGGTACGATTTTTTTTTTTTGCTTCAGAAGTCACGTTTTTCTGCTGCGTAGTCTCACTGAGAGATTTGAACTTTTAATGCGATAAACATATGGAGAACACACTCACGAAACGATCACCGGCTTCAACGGCAGTGAGGGTCACTTGGCAATATAATTTAGAAATTTAAAGTGGTACTGAATTTTCGCGCATGCTCCGTGGTTGCTAAAAGTCCAAGCAAGTTAAACAGATTACGAATTGAGGCAAAAAAAGTATGCAAGCAGTTGCTCAACGCATGAGTGTGGCCTTTACAACTTTATTGTGAAAACAGTTGCGATACTACAATGTGACTGCACAGTATTGAAGAGAGACAACACTATCTGCTTGAATAGCACCTGTTTTTTCTTTGAATAAACTTTGTTGGAAGTGGCGCCATCTGTGTGTGTGTGTGTTTGTGTGTGTGTGTGTGTGTGTGTGTTTGTGTGTGTGTGTGCTTGCATGCGTGTGCCCCTTTTCAACCATAACTTTTGCGCTTTCTAAATAGAATCATGTAGTTAGATTTGTCATGCACCGACAACCATAAAAAAGATCACCTTTCCGCGTCCAGATAGTCCTTTTAAGTGGTAGTCATAATGCTTAAACCACCACGAGACAATTATCAGAAAACGTAAAATGTTAAAAATTTATGTACGTCCTACGAACTAAAGAAATCAATGTTGCAGAAAAAATGAAAAAAAAAATGTTGATAGCTGTCTGTCAAATTTGATTTGGGCTTTCACAATCATTTTAGGAGTCAAAATTTCATGTTTGAGTGAAAACAGCAGTTTTGTGTTTTAAAAATGTGTGTGTAATTTCAATAAAAGCAGCAAAATGATTATGGTGACGCGCAAATGAAGGTAATGAAATAGTTTCTACCTATACCGTTGGCTGTCAGTTCAACAGGCTTACGATTAGGTTCTTTCCTCATGAGATATTTGATAGGTACTAAGCCCGCGGAAATAAAATACGGAAAGTTGCGGCATTCGCAAGAGTAATAGTACAATCGCACGTACTTATGCGTAGCATATGCTGCATAAACAGGTCTATTTGAAAACCCCTCTTTGATTTTATTTGAACTGAGATACACAAAGCTCTTATCACACGAAATTTTTCTTCCATATGTCAAAAACAAGGGATGATTTTTTTCTGTCTCATGTTTTAAAAAGGAAGAAAAATATTTTGAAAAAAAAGTGGAGAGGTTTGTTTGGCTTACGCCTGACATTCAACAACATGTTCTGCGTGATGATTATGATGTCATCATCCTCCTCCTCCTCCTCATCATCATCATCATCATCATCCTGACTACGCCCATTGCAAGACGTAGGCCTCTCCCATGTTACGCCAGTCAGCTCGGTCCTGGGCTTGCTGCTGCCATTTTACACCCGCAAACTTCCTAATATCACCTGCCCACCTAACTCTCTGTCTCCGCTTAACACACTTGCCTTCTCTTGAAATTGAGTCTGTGATCCTTAATGACCATCGGTTATTTTGACTGTATTTGAGACACGTGAAATTATTGTTTGTGTGTGGGTGAATGAGTGAGGAATTTAGTATTGTTGTGCAGGAAAATATGCTGGGAATTTCGTGAACATTTGGAGGAAACAATCCCCGAAATAGAAAATCATGTCTCTGAATGGGAATTTTTCGGCGTAGAACAAAACATCAATGGTACAGAGGCCCATACTGGTGACTAGCTTCTGTCCAGAGGGACCGGTGGAAGCGCCAAGTGTGTGCCAATTTGAGTCTCGCAGCGTCTTGCGTCGAGAAAGGTATCTCGGCAATTTCTGTCGAAGCGTCAAGTCCTGCTTTAGCAATCTCATCAGCTCAGATGTTACCTTGTATTTTGCAGTAGGCAGGTATTCACTTTAGAACAATGTGGTGATGAAATTCAGTCGCAGGCTTTGTTACATAAGCGTTTGATGTCCCTGATGAGTTGGCCCTGCATGCGTGCAGGGTTCAGAGCCTGCAGCGCCACACTTGATTCAGTAAATATGACCAAACACACAGCTGTCTGGTCAACAGGGTACTTAAAGGTAGCCCGTAGTGCAGCCAGTACAGTGGCTGTAGATGAGAGGAAGTGACTGAGAGTGGCTGAGATGGTGACATTAAGAGATGGAGTCGAGACACCAATGACGAATTCTGCCAGCGTAGTAGAGCCGTCAGTGCAAATCTGACGGTGAGCTCTGTAGCGGTTTTGCACGTGCTCTAAAGTTAAATACGTGATTGCTGGTTCGGGTGTGCGTCTCTTGTTCATTAACCCATGCATTGAGTCATCTATGTCACACGAAAGAGTTTTCTACGATGGCTCCGTAGGCTTTGATGCACTTTTATAACGTAGTGGGAGCAAGCTCCGTACAACAGGAGTGCTGTCTTAGGCAAGTGGATAGTCCGACACACAGATGGCATAATGCAGGTGGAATAAAAAAAAAAACCCCTCCACCTGCGGAAACACAGCAGAAGAAGGCCGTTTACTTTCGGCAAGGCTTCCGATGCTTGACGCATTCTTTGGTAGGCCAAGGCACATCATCGAGGCTTTTGTACACCATTTGGGCCTTCGCTTAGGCTTCAGTCAGTACGTGTATATTGGTTCTGTATATGCCATGTAAAGGAGGAAAGCTGCAACGTAGAAGGCCTTCGCAGAGGGTCGTACACATTTTCAGCAGGACACTAACGGAGCAGCTACAGGCGTTGCTTGATAACAAGCGGAAGATGTTCACGTATGACGCAACCATTTCTTTTAATATCTGAACGTGGGACGTCCACATCCAGTCGATTGTCACTCCCAGAAACTTACGACATGTAACGTACCTAATGCGAGAATACGCTACCTTTAACGCATCGCGCGACACATCATGCGCTATGTTTTGTTACACACTGGCAGCTCTAGAGAGATCGAAACATAAGGCGTTAATTCCTTCTTCTTCTATTTGTTGGGTATGCAAGAGCACTACGTTTTATCTTAAGAAATAAGAAAGTTAATATAAGTAGGTACATTGTCACCTTCACTTCGTTTTTTTATTATTTGTTATTTATGTCTTTTTTTCATGCAGAATTCTCGTACCTGCTGCGGGCTTTATGCGAGATGTACAAGAACCAGACATTCAAGACGTACCTGGGCTTTTCCCCATTCGTGATTATACAGGACCCTGAAAACGCTGAGGTAAGTTTACAACGATGTCCGCTGTGGTAGTATAGTGGTTACAGTGCTGGGCTGTTGACCCGGAGGTCGCGGGTTCGATTCCGGCCACGGCGGTTGCATTTAGATGAAGGCAAAATGGTTGAGGCCCGTGTACTGCGCGATATCATTGAATGAGAACAGCAGATGGTCCAAGCTTTCGAAGCCCTTCACTACCATGTCTATCATAATCATGTCGTCGTTTCAGGGCGCAAAACCTTATATATCAAGTTTAGGATAAGGAAACTATACATGTTCATAGCACGACCTGCGGATCTTTTCTGGGGGCATGAATCACAAGACATACAGTTGTTTAGAATCCACGCGCTGCCGGTCCAACACCTACTTCTCTTTTTTCGTAATATTCACGTGCATGTCTTGTAAAAAATAACATTGATACGAACTATGAGGTTCCGGTTTATCTCAAGAGTTAAATCAGGTACGTACATTAGGGTGTAAGTTTACTTCACACAAAAAGACGGATAACTGTACGGATATTTAATGAAAAATAAGTGAATGTGTTCATTGAAGCAGTCGACAGTTTTCTTTTGAGCGTTGCGGATTGTCACAGCAGCTGGCGGAGCATGTTAGAACCACGCGCTTTTTTCCACGTGGCCTCTGAGATTGGTTTCGGCAATGAAACGGAACACGGAGTAAACCCAAGGCATACACTACGCCGCACAATCGTCGAGGTGCGAGAGCGCCCAGAAGACACCAAGGGCAAGGATTAGGGTCGCCGCCAACTTTCATTCAATAGCTCTCCTTCACCTTAGTTGAAGCTCGAGGTAACAACCGCTCTTTTAATAAATGCGAAGCATTCCGTCGTGTACTGCGAGGACAGGCGTTGCAATAAATCTATCTATCTATCTATCTATCTATCTATCTATCTATCTATCTATCTATCTATCTATCTATCTATCTATCTATCTATCTATCTATCTATCTATCTATCTATCTATCTTTCATCTATCTATCTATCTATGTTAGGTTTGGGTGCTCTTCTAATCACCCCTTTAACGTGGGGTAAACCAAATTAGTAGGAGGGTAAGAGAATGTGACGAATATACCTGGCTGGTCATGAGATGAATTAATAACTTGAAAATATTGTACCAAACGTCGTCAAACACTCTCCATCAAACAGGTCTAATTCATATCCGTTGTCACGAGCAGCAGTACACGGGTAAGCGCCGCAAGAGATTAACAGCGTATATCTACCAAGAAAGCGCGAGAGCACTTATGGGTAATCTAAATGCAATATTGCTTAGAAAAACTGGCATCGGCAGCACTCACTTGAAGAATGCAAAGAAATATCAGGTTCCCACCAGAAATTGAACCAAACTATTCCGTGCAGCAATCAAGTATTCTACCACAGAGCCTCTCGAAGTCTAGAAACGGCTTTGAAACAATACCCTATGTATGCGTGCATAGTATCTTTGAAACGTGAAGTTTGAATCCTGTACTGGCTATCTAAATTTATGATCAGTATATACTTATTCCTATGATATAGGCGTCGCGTAGGGTGAACGTCGGTTGAATACGTAAGCGACATTCACTCAAGTTCGTCTACGTAGTAGTAACGAGGGCTGCCATCGTCCTCTCAAGCACAAGTATATCTATGAGCTTACGAATTCTGGTGTTGTCAGTACCCATGTGCATGTTGCCATCGTTGCGCAACTGTACCCAACGGGTTTTACAAATATATGTTTCTGTTGAACATATATCTGTGCAGAAACTTGAAACATTCTTACATATCCATAGTGCCATTTCAACAGATTGCGTTAAATAAAAATTTACGCATAAGTCACCTTCCCTCCACATGCTTAGCTCAACATAATTTCATGGTACGCTGGATTTTTTATGCAATTTTTACTGTATAACTTGACAGCTGCACCTAAAACATCATTATCTGTCCACCCAAACAACGTCCTTCCAATGGTTATTTTCTATGACCTTCTTTTCTATGCCAGGCCGAAACTCCGCCGTTGTATGGCCGCAGTAAATTATGACAAACTTGCTTGAATCACCTTGTAGTTTTCTGACGTTGTGCTCAAAGTGAGATGTTACACCACTCTAGTACAATTTTCTAACAGCTATTCCAACGGCGTACTTGAGTGCATTGAGGCCTGCAAGTCTTACCCTACGAGCTAGAACTTCCTAAATTACTTTGAACGCTGAATAGCAGGGCTTGACGTCAGGGAGGTCCGGGGTATCCAGTGCCCCCCATCTATTTTTAAGGGGGAGGCTCGGCTCTCCCTCAGCTTCTCAACTGCGGCGTGAGGCACCCATTCTACAAGTGCTAACGGCGATTTTTTTTTGTAGAAGTGCTTTGCGCCGGGAGCTCGCAACACCGATTTCCTTAATAATGATTTCATCGCGAATGTTGGGTTGATGTAGCTCGACCGAAACAAGAAACTAGGTATTGTCATACTGCTGCATACAATTTCTTGGGGCGTTCGCCTTCATAAATCAGTGACTGGGGTGCTCGGCTGCTGACCCGAAGGTCGTGGGTTCGATCCCGTCCGTGATAGTTGCATTTTTATGAAGGTGAAATGGTAGAGGCCCGTGTACTGTGCGATGTTAGTGCCCACTTAAGAACACCAGATGGTCCAAATTTCCGGAGCCCTTCACTACGACGTCCCTCATCATCATATCATGGTGTTGGGACGCTTAACCCAACATGGTTTTTTATCGAGGCACTGCACATGACGGGCCTGGCATTGTTTGATTAAGCTTTTTGGCACAGAATAATGGTTCACGAGGCACCTGAAGGTTTAGCTATATGTTCGGTAAAACTTCAATCTGGTCTCTTTACTTAGCAGTCAATTTTTAATCGTTCACTTTAGAATGAAGAGTCTGATGTAATACTCGTGATGCATTCATTTTGCCACCTTGTCAGTAAGTAAATGAGAAAATGAAACATAGCAATGTCGTGCCTAAAGTTCTAGATGTAGCGAGTAAAATAACGGTCTGCCTTACAGCTTTCTTATCGCATTTAAGCTCACATATATTTAACCCTCATCATCAAGGATTATTTCTGAAAAATTGTTTCTAAAATGACAATTTCAAGATTCTTGATTGGACCAGCACAATATACAGGTTTCAAAAATACACTCGGAATTATATCTGTATTACATTCATGCACATCTGTTTAACTTACTTCGTTAATAAAGTTTGCTTCACGGCAATGTGTGCATATATAAATATATATTATCTATACCTCACCGCTCTATGAGAGCCCCTCTTCAAATGAAAAGAAACTTTAAACCCTGCTCTTTGGACATTAAATGCAAACGATAAACGAAATAGAAATACAATTAAAAAAAAGAGGTAAGAAGCGAGAGATCCGGTTTGCGTGACCGTGGAGAATTGCGACTCAAGTTTCACGGGCAGCCGACGCACTTCTTTGTTTAGGCTCTAACCGTTTTCAAGGGAAGCGCGTGTTCCGGTTTCTGTGGAAGTTTTTCGCTGCATTCATGCTTCCTCCTCGCCGCGTACGTTTTTTGTGCTCGCGTCAGCCACCAGTGACCTTGAACACGAAGACGCACCTTGTGCTCCACGTAATTACATCTGAATAAAGAAAGATTATTTTCAAGAGAAAAACAACCATGCAGGGTCAGTACAATTTGCCGGTAGTTCAATAAAAACCGAGAGTGCTTGCTGGCTGCTACAATTATAAACTATAGTTCGCTGTTTGAAGGAACGTTTCACAACACACGTGTGCATTAAGACCGATGCAAACATTCCTGTGACAAATTAAGGCCGGAATGCAAACATGAACTCAAAAGAGAAATCAGGGCCACACGAACTCCGGGATTTCGCGGCAAGTGTGAAATTGGGGCGTCCAGCGTTTGTGTTTCTACTTCTTTCTTCTGTCTACATATCAACGCCTACCACCTTTGATCACAAATCTCTGCCAACTATTCAGTCTTTTTTATTTTATTTTCTTCTCCACCTCAGTGTAACAGTGTGCTTGTGTGCTCGGCTGCTAACTTTTTTTTTTTTGCCCAGTTTCAATCCCGGCCGTGGCGGTCGCAATTTGATGGAGGCGAAATGGTAGAGACCCATGTACTATGCGATGCCAGTGCACCACCAGATGGTCCAAATTTCCGCAGTCCTTCCCTGCGGCGTCTCTCATAATCATTTCGTGGTTTCAAGACACCCAGTTATCTGTCATTCTCACACTCCTGAAATGCTGACTACATTGTAGTAGCCTATCTTCTGAACATTACAGAATGTGCAATAATTTGCCCTTTCTGACTCGCAGTGATATTACGGCGCACTTATCTCTATGTTCAAAGTTACGCAAAACTTGTAGCTCAGCGCAATTATATTAGTTTATATTAAACATGCATGAAACTGCATGCAGCTTTGTTAAATAAGTCTTCTGCGCGCCTTACGGGTTGCAAAGGGCATACAGGAGACTGTTGAGAACATGTGCAAGGTGACTTCCTCTTTGGCTTTGGCTTCCCCTCTTTCCCTCTTATCATCAATAGTTGTGTGCCGGATCAGTCCGCTTTTAAGCCTTGACATCACCTCAAGAACAAGGTTGCCTTGAAACTAGCACCTCTTTTCAACATCGAGGGATTAGATTCAACTTCCTATGTTCTTGAGCCAACGATTGAACATAACAGGCACGTAAGAAAGGAGGGTGTGAGAGTCTCCAACTGAGACATTTCAGTGGTTTCACTAATACGTATAGTAAGGTTGCGATATTTTTTTTATTTTGTGCTGCCTACAAAACGAAAAGAGTTTCTATGACATAATGTATATCACGCTAAGATATCTTGCACGAGATTTCCTGATTTTGTAATGCTTCAAGGTACATCTAATGCGATGTTATAGAGACGCACAGGGGGACGTGGAGTGGTTAAATTCAAATTCGAGTGGATTAGTTTATAGCAATCATTGCAGAACTGTAGTGCTATGCCAATGATTCTGTTTTTTCAGTTCATACAAAACTTCTCTGGCGTTCACGCTTGACGCAGGTCCTTCTTTCAAGCTCAGAGAACCTGAGGAAGCCCTTGTTTTACACTTTCACCATACCGTGGTTGGGGCCAAGAAATATGCTTTATATGTGAGTAACTATCAAGAACTTAGACGTATGTTTCAAACGTTTTCTATGACAACGCTTAGTTTGCCTAATGTCTCCTTCTTTCATAGGCATGAGGATGGGTCGGGTAATACTAAAATTCACCCAGACTCGCTCAAGAAATATACTTCGCTTTGAGCACACTCTTGGACTCACACTCATCGAAAATTCTTTCAACCGGACTCACTCGAACTCAGACTTACTACACTTTTTCTCAACCAAACTCACCATGGACTCAATCTCAGCTGCGTATTACTCAGCCGGACTCACTCAGACCCTGGCGCGGGTCCGGCTCTAACTCTGATGAGTCTTAATGAGTCGACGTCCGTGTTATTTCACGCAAAATTGTCGTTTTAGACCATGATGTGGCTCTTTAACGCTCATATTTTGCATTACCGGGGTTCTCTGCCACCACTGCTGATCTTTTACTTTCAAACACGAGTTATAATACGTTTCAATGAGGTTAAGACATTTTCATGAAATGTATACGTGACTCACGCGAGATATTTTTATCAAAAATTGCCCGTAAAAGAAGCTCGCGGAAAAAGCTCATGGCACCCCCCCCCCCCCACTAGCAGATGCATTTATGAATGAATATTGATGTGGCGCATGAAGGTTAGTTGTTTGAGATATGTGTGGACAGACTTCAGTATGATCGCAAGTCGGTAAGGCGGATAGAGTGCATGAGTTACAGCTACGGGAACACGCAGTAAGTGCAACCATTATTGTGCAATCGAACGATTCCCAAATCCGAAATAGCAGGTGGCTAACCAGAAGAGCGCTCTTTACTTATGCGATGAAATTAGAAACCTTAACCAGTGTTCCTCGAATGCCTAATAATGGTGGAATAAAGTTTAGTCATTGTAACTGCACCCGACATCACTAAGTATCAACAGCTATACTTCGCAGTTTTTTTTATGCCGTACCTTGCTTTACATCAGCAGGTCCATCATTAGACTAAATTGGAAAAGCGCAAACGACAATAACGAAGCAAGCACAAGAGTTGTGGCACTTTACTTGCAATAGGCGTTTATATGAAACAAAAATCATAATATACTCATGAACAAAACACGTACATATGCGCACAGCCTCCCACAAGATATTGCACAGTCAGTGTTCGAGCAAGAAGTTTGAAAACGATTCATCACGTATCAAAAATGCATCAAAGTAAAAGATAAAAGATACTTTATTTTCTTTCAACACCAAAAATGAGCAGCTGACACACTTGTCACCCGCTCAAGTAAGCCTCAACTTTTTCCGTTCTGTTTCTGATCTGCCTTTATTGTAAGCAGTAGTGTTGTGAAATAAAGGCGTACATGCACGTTTTTTGCAATGTTCTGACGACGTGTTACCAAATACCTTCCTAGCATCATTATTGTGGTGTCTCACCCCGTCTTTGAACCGCTGACTAGTCTGGCCAATAGACTTGACCACAACTCAGAGGTATTTGGTGCGCCACTCTTCCAATACATACAGCGCTTTGATTGGTGTAACATTTTACACGTTTTCATACTTTCAAAATTACAGATACCTGTTAGTCTGCAAGGCGCTGAAAAAATTACTTGATGATATGTCGCGGAGATACACTGTTCAAGTTATGAAACTCTTTAGGAAAGTTTGGAATTGCATCCACTGTCCAGATATTTTTTTACCGTTCCTTCGGCTGTTTGGATTTCTTAGGCCAAGTGTCGCAAACAGACAAGACAACGTACACTGGGAAACCTGCCTCCCTTAATCTAATAACTAGCTTGGACATGCTGGGATAAGTCAATTGCATGCATGATTTGCGCAAGGTATTCTTAAGGTTATGCTTCCTTTTATTTGCTTAGAATGGGTGCTGTGGAAGGGATAACAAGTTTCTTTTATTAATGGCATTAAGACCAACAGGCATGACTGGATGATGAAAATATATTTTTAAAGTCGAATACTGGTCGAAATATTATTCAAGAGCTCAAACTTAAGACTGAGCACTCCAGAAAGCTTTATGAATAATTTGGGGGTCTGCCAATGCATCGTTAAGGAAAAGTCCAGGTGGTAAATTAGGTACAATTAACTAATTACCTAGATGCAGAAATTTACGAATGATTAGAATTTAAGGTAGTTTCACATTTACACATTTTTATTTTCAAAGGATACCAAAAATGTGGCATAATATGGCGGCCATTATTGAGCTAATACAAATGCCTATGACCTGAATGAGGTATGACCCACTATGAATAATTGCTGTCAAATGTACGTGGACATCTATCAATATTAAAAATTGTTACAGTTCATGCACACCGAATTCTGGAAGGAGAGTTAACATATTTCAATGCATTTTAACACGGAAATAGTTATGCCGGCATCCATCACAGCTTCGTTGACGTACTTCTGTCACGGGAGGCACGTTGAAAAATATACACGAAGAGATTGTGAAGAAAAAAAAAAGGTGTAGCATATCACCGAAGGTAATCCTGTTTGGTTGCGAAGCAGCAACGTTGCGCACAGCGTTGACGCGATTGAAACTGGCGTCGACGCGGGTGCTGGAAAAAACGGTTTCAAGCAATACGCGGTGAAGTGTTTACTCGAGTAAATGTTTGCTTGAAACACGAAGACACTGAAGGCGGGACGCGTTTACGACGCTTGCGCTCGTCTTCCTTGCCTAGCGCCTCGACAGTGTTACCGGAGCACCACCTTTATTCTCGAACGCGATCGGCGTTCATGACTCACACCTCGTTGGTGTCACTGGTCTTCTGCTGCCGACGCTTGCGTTTGGCTTCCCCGGCTCGCGCCTCGCCAATATTGACATTGCCAATCGTGAATGCGATCAGCTTCGCTAAACCTCGCAACACCAGCGACAGCCGGGAAAGGTACGCGCGGGCACAGTAGCGGCAAGCATGCCACGATGGCGTCCCGCACATCGGCGCGATCGGGCGGCAAGCAACGACACGTTGGCCACATTGTAAGCGTTGTGAGATTCTGGAAGCACGCCCCCGCCGGCTCGCGGCTTCTTGTCGCCGACAGATGGGGAGGGGTTGCGAGGGTGAGATAATGCCCAAGCGAGGAGTGGGCTCAAGCATTGCGAGCAGCGGAGAGGGTGAAAAGAGAGAGATGACACACGGCAAGCGGCGACAGGCTAGGCAGTGAGTGACGTCAACGCGCGAGCACTGCGAGGGAATGCGTGACCTACTTGGCACCGCCCGAACACCTGCGGCTAGGGGAGCGCGGTGCGGATGGAGGGACATCCATACACAGGCTAGTCAAAGAACTGCTTCACATCTAAAATTCCCAAGTCAAGCATTCATGACGCGGAATCGAACCAGCAACGTCTCGTTTCTCATCGCGCGGCGCTAACCCCTGTGTCACGGTACGTGCGTTGTCGATAATGCTAACGACAAGCCACATTTGTACACCGTGCACCGTTTGGCACTCCTCGGAGCTTTGGCCCCACCGTGGTGGTCTAGTGGCTAAGGTACTCAACTGTTGATCCACAGGTCGCGGGATCAAATCCCTGCTGTGGCGACTGCATTTCCGATGAAGGCGGAAATGTTGTAGGCCCATGTGCTCAGATTTGGGTGTACAATAAAGAACCCCAGGCTGTCGACATTTCCAGAGCCATTCACTACGGCATCTCTCATTATCATATGGTGGTTCTGGGACGTTGATTGATTGATTGATTTGTGGGGTTTAACGTCCCAAAACCGCAATTTGATTATGAGAGACGCCGTAGTGGAGGGCTCCGGAAATTTTGACCACCTGGGGTTCGGTTCTGGGACGTTAAACCCCACATATAAATCAATCAGTCCTCGGAGCTTTAAAACTTAAGCGCGTTTTCATTATCAGTGGCGAAGTGGTGTGTAGGGCTCACATTGGGCGCACCCTAAAGATCGTCGCCTCCAGGAAGCGTGGTGTCTCCTGCGGGGGCGCTTATCAGACTCGTCATTCGGAAGAGCACGAAGGTCACTTCGCACGCTGCCGCGGCACTGTTTACGAAAGGAGCGCGCTGCTGATAAGGCGAAGGACGAATTGTGACAGTGTTCGCACTTGTCTTGTGTATACTTGTGCTCTAATGTCGTGCGTCTTTCTTTCTGTTTGAACAGCGCACTTCAAGTGTCGATCTGTGAGTCCTCCTATGTATGCTCATTTCGAGTGTGCTTTCTTAAAGTTTGCACAAGTTTCGAGCTGCTTGCCGTTTTTAATGTGACTTTGCAATTTCTTGTTGTAGCTGAAAATACGCACAATACTTTCTTTGTAAAGACGCGTTCGAGTTACTTTATATACTGATTTCTTTTCAAGGGGATCAGTCACGTTTTTTTTCTTGAACTGTACGTAAGGAACTTTCACGCATCGCAGAATAGTTAAAGTTCTTAACATCTAGAGAATTGATTGGAACAAATATGAGACCATCTTGTAGCTATACATGACAACGTCATCTGATCAGCCAGCTAAAAAATTGGCCCCGTATCTGCATGTTAGATTGCGAATGTCGTCAAAAGACAATAGTTTTTGTCTGGAGAGAGTGGAGAAAACGTTTATTTGGTGTTCTGCGCAAGAAAATTGTTGAATGGTATTCTGGAGGCGCTGCCTCAGAGTGCCTCGAGCGTGCAGTGGAGGCGAACGAGCGCTTCGAGTAACGTTAAACGTGAAACATGAGCGCTATCTGTCAATTATCTTGCAAAAATCACCGCGTGGCATGCGCGCCCGTCTTGGAGGCGATAAGGTGTAGAACACAAGGCGACGGGTATGTACCGCCACCTTGTCATCTTTGAAATCATTGGAAACACTTGCCTTTTTAGCACCGTGTTGCACTGTCAGCGCAGCGTGATAAACGGTGCGGTCCTTAGAGTTACTTATGTGTGCCTTCTGCAGACATAGTAAATATTGACGTTTTGTTATGGTGCCTCAAATATGCGCAATAATTGCTTTCGAATTGACAATCTCACAAGTATGAACGCTAAAACGTGGGCTATTTTGGTTGGCGCTGGGGGTGGGGTCCGCTGTTTGGGGTATCGTTTGGTGTCGTTTGGGATACCGTTAAGGGCAGACAAGCAGACAAATGTACAGACAGACAGACAGACAGACAGACAGACAGCAGACAGACAGACAGACAGACAGACAGACAGACAGACAGACAGACCAAAATTTTTGCGTAGAAGGTTTCCAAAAAAATTATCGTCTGTAAAAGCAATCGTAAAGTGGAAGCAACTTCAAGTGTACATGCAGGACTTTCATCAACTGAAGCTGACATGAATATTTTTCAGAGACGGTTACATTATGAGGATAGCCAGGCTTGCGTGTCTTTCTCGTAAAGAAGACTTTCAGGTAGATCAGTTTGCAAGGATTGTCTAGCTGTAGCTAAGCCGTTCTTTAGTATTAGCGCACATTTCTTTTGTCCCACTCAATCGATATTAGTTTTTTCAAACTATTCCTAATAGCGGTTCTAGATTTGGCTTTCATAATGCTCCCAGGCAGTACAACAAATCATCTTTGCTTGTCTGCTTAGAGGATGGCAAGGTTTTGATTCTTCAAGCAGTTTACTATCTTAATGAGAGGTGAATGGGGCATTATTTCGTGGTTAAGTTTTATGAGCACACAGTCCACTGCTTCGCTTGTGACACGTTCTCACTCCCTTTTTTCTGCTCGGTCGTCTCTATGTCTGGCTAGAGCTAAGGGCTGCCGGTCATTGAGCTCTGGATCAAAACTAAATTTTGAAGCTTTCTAAAGGATCTTGTTCACTGAACTGGAGAGACAAGACTTTCGCTTACCTAAATATTTGCTACGTTATCGTCGCTGTTTCTTCGTAGTTTTCAGCTAACGTGAGCTTGGAGCTCTGAAGAAGAATTGGGATAGTGCACTAGCCAAATGTGCTGTACCCAATAACTAAGAGTTGTGGTCGTGTCTATATTAGACTGACCAGACAGTACTTTAGGGACCAGGCAAGACAATAACCACATTCGTGTTTTGAGTTGTAATACACCCCGGCCAACATGAGTTTCCACATACGCTGCTTTTGACTGGCGCGGCGATTGCACTAGCACACGCAATAAGGATCAAGTGCAAGCTGGAGCTGTAAGGTCAATAATGATACTTTGATGAAACGTCACGTGGTCTCTTGTGTACTTCAGTAAAACGACTAGCAGGCGAAAACCTTCATATTCTCAGTCGACTGTATTGATCAGCCCGATTGTATTGATCTACCTAATTGTATGCGCAACCAATGTTTTTTTGCATTGCGTTTGGTATATGACGCCTTTGATACCTTCCGTACTCAAGTGTACATATTATTATACAACTTCAAGTGTATCGTAACCTATCACAAAGCGCTATTCTCAGCCGAGAGTGCTGCACGTCATTTTACTTTCATGAATATAAATGTTGAGACTTTCTCATCTGCTTTTCTTGTCCAGGTAAAGTAATCATAAGCTGTAAATTGTCCCCTCAGTTACTCTTCAATGCAATGCCATATGATATTCACACGTCACCAAAATACTTTTCATTAAACCTTATTACTAACTCTTCTCATTCTGAGACCCAAAAAACATCCTGTACACATGGTGAATATAACTGAAGAAATTCTGTCACCCTCTCTTACACCCGTCTTTATCAGAATTATTTGGCTTTCTTTGTGTAAGACAACGGTGTCGGTAGATCCATTGTAGACTTATTCCAGTAGATTCACATATAGCCTTCGTCAATGCCTTATCTCCGCAGTGCCTCCTAAGTTCAGGTAGTAACCATGGAGCAGAACCATGTGATCAAAATGACTAAAAGAATAAGAATGGGATAGAATTGGTCTCATTCGGCAAGCATTATCAAATCACCGATGGTAGTGTTTCACTATTTCAAGAGGAATGTATGTAGGAGCTGCATCTCACCTGTATTTAATTACAGAGCAGAAACTTGGAGGCTTACAAGGAGGGTTTAACCTAAATTGAGGACGATGCAGCAAGCGTCGTAGTGTTAAATGATAGGGGTATTCTTAAGAGGTAGGAACACACCAGAGTGGCAGAGTGGGTAAGAGAACAAACAGGGGTTAAGCATAGCATAATTCAAATCTAGAAAAAATGAACATTAGTCAAGCACGTAGTGCGCAGGCAGGATTGAGAGTAACTCACTCGATTCCGTGAGAAGGCAAACACGTGAGAGGGAGACAGAAAATTAGGTGGACAGATGAGGTTAAGATGTTTCCAGGTATAACGTGGCAGCAGCAGGCCCCGGACACGGATGTATTGGCTGAACATGCAAGAGGCCTTCGCCCTCCAGTGGGAGTAGTTAGGCTGATGTTGATTATATTATTATTATTATTATTATTATTATTATCATTATTATTATTATTATTATTATTATTATTTTTATATTATTATTATTATTATTATTATTATTATTATTATTATTATTATTATTATTATTATTATTATTATTATTATTATTATTATTATTATTATTATTATTATTATTATTATTATTATTATTATTATTATTATGAAGTTTCACGTGGTTACAGCAGTGTCTCCAGCACTAGCCCACTTTTGATCAAACAAGCAGCCCAGAATATGACGTCGTGTGATGTCACAATAAAAGGCATTGGTAATGTTATACGATAACGTCATAACATGATGACTTTTTTCATCACACGTGTCGACATCGACGCTTAAGGTTTACTCTTGATGAGACATCAAAGGCATTTGTCTTGAAAAATACTAATGGTAACAAAGGCACTATTCTACTTTGTTGCATTGTTTTCGAATAATGTCACTCAATGCTATACGCCGTATGAGATATCATGACGCTTTTTTTTACGAAATGAAATGTTTTGTTATAGTCTAGCACAGTTTTTTTTTGTTATGGTAGGTTGTTACCCTTATCACGCTACCTTTGTGATAATCGTGTTCAGTATTTGGGCCTTTACTATACAGCGCAGGAAACGTTTGGCGCTACAAAAGGAAGTTCCAGATGCCTGCCTTTCATTCAAAGACTTTGGAGAAATTCATGGACGTAATAAACGAACACGCAGACAGCATGGTTGAGCGCCTGGAAGAAGCGAGTGTCAAGAAAGAGCTGGCTCCTATACAAGAAATTGTCAAACGATGCAGTCTGGATCTCATCGGAGGTATATTAGTATACATTTTAGAATAGCCAAGTAGCAACAGGGTATGTTAGTGTAATTAGGAGTTGGTTTTTGAAAGTCTTATATCTTAAGCTAAACCGGTAATGCTTTCCTCCATGGTTTCGTTCACACAAAAATGTGGCCGCTGTGACCAACAATCGGATTCGTGCAGTTGTGCTCAGTAGCACAACCCAGCAGCTGCAAAGCCATTATGGTGTAATAATAATTTATACTTGCCAAGTTGGTTAAGCCCCCTTAACCTACTATACACACCGAATTCAATAATCACGTTCCTAGCTCTTTAGTGTTTTCTTGGCACGTATTTCTGTCACCGATTTTCAGACCATACGCACTTGCTACCCTTCTCCCCCTCCCCCTCCTGCCACACACACACACACAAGCCACTAAGCCTTCGTCTAATTTATCACTCTTCATCCGGATGAAGCTTTTCAAGGTCTGTTAAATGAAAATGCAATGATTGTTGTGTTGTTCTCGGCAAAATTTTTTCTGATAATAGCTTCTGGTGAAACGCTCTCTAATAATAATCTCTGAGTTTCGCGTTCCAAAACCACGATATTGTTATGAGGCACATCGTAGTGGAGGGATCCCGAATTATTAGACCATCTGGTGTTTCTTAACGGGAACTGACATCCAACAGTATACGGGATTTCAGCATTTCACCTCCATCAAAAGGAACTCCAAGAAGCAGAGACTTTTAAGTTATTTATAATTTCTGCCTATATACGCAGAAAAATAACTTTACAGGGCAACATTATTAAGAACTAACAGAGGATGATGACATGGAAAGTATATAGGAGATGTTATTTGTAGTGGACGAAAAGATAACTTGCCGCAAGCAGGGAGCTAACCTGCGACCTTCGAATAAAGTGCTCGATGCTCTATCAACAGCACTACCGTCGCAGCGGTGCTTCTGTCTACTTTGTGTGGTTTATATGGGCCTTTAAACGTGGGAGTGTCAGTCAGCGCCACTAATAGCAATCGCGGCGAGTGGGGGGCACTCTTGCTTTTTTTTGCCTCTCGGCGTTGCCATGCACATGACGCCAACAGTCAAGTGCTATATGACGTCAATGGGTAGAAAAAAAAGTAATCCAAACTCGCCGTAATAGATACTGACGGCACTGACTTAAACTCCCACGTTTATATGCACGTATACACCCTATAAAGGGTGTAGGAGGGATGATTGCCACCGTATCTTGGCTAGTGGTGCTCTCTATAGGGCGACGGATGCGTTATCGAAGGTCGCAGGTGCAGCCCCTGCTGGCGTCAAACCATCTTTTCGTGCACTTTTTTTCACAATTACAGTTGAATTACTTTGAATTTCCGAATTTAATATAAATTTTATTGCATGATTGTTTGTCTAAATATTTATTGCGTGGAAAAAAGAAGAAAGCGAGCCCTTGAATTTATATTTCTTTCATTCAGTTGTACGGGAGTGTTTCTTACGCTTTGTTATTCCTTTTGTCTTTACAGAAGTCTTGATGGGTGTGAACTTGAATACTCAGAAGAACCAGAACAGCCAGTATGGCGAATATATTGCTGGGTAATAATTACGGTCTCATAAGTTGTTTATATAGAAGTGCTATGACATGTGCATGATTAATATAAAAAAGAGCAGCAGCTTTGTAGTATTTTCCGATGGAAGTGGAAGTGTTGTAGGCTGGTGTGCTCAGATTTGGGTGTGCGTTAAAGAACCCAAGGTGGTCAAAATTTCTGCAGCCCTTCTTTACAGCATCTCTCATAATCATATGGTGTTTTAGGACATTAAACTCCACATATCAGTGAATCAATCACTCAGCTTTCTGGTGTTTCATAGTGTATTCCGATGATAGATAAGGAGCGCTTCCGGTAGTAGTTTCTTGCTCATCCTGGAGCAAAAAACTGATCGATTTGCTGAATGAAGGTGCTTCATCTAAGCTTCATTAGAATACGGGAAAAACTAAAACAGACCTTTCTAATACATATCGTGTGCATGTTCATGTGAAACAGGTAACAAGCTCAAGGGGGTGCGCAATGCGAGAAAAACTAAGTGCCTCTGGAAGCAGATGTTCAATAGCGTCCACGCAACTCTAGCGGAGGACCTGTGTTTTATAGGGTAATTTGCTTTCGTTGTGCTCTGCCAGAGCAGAGTGCTTCGGGGCACAGTTAATCAGCCATTCCGAGTCTACCATTGTAATTCAGCAGCTGTATGAAAAACACGTGCAAACGTCTGTATACCGAGTGCCCGGTTGTCTGTCACGCCGGCTTTGGCATAAAATTCCGCCAAGATTTCTGCGTGTTTCTCGTTGGACTAGGCCTCTCCTTCTAAAATAATTAGAGACGTTATCACTCAGTGCGAGCAGAGCCTGATCAGAGTGGAAGATTGTAGAATGTATTCAATTGTTCTAATCAGATTGGGTGCATAACGCGAGGACCAGTGTACGTTAAGGAACTTGCACTAGAACCAGCGACTATACTGAAAGGTACGATGACACTCACATCAAAGGCAACACGTTTCACCCGCAGAGCCATTATGGATGATCAATGACAGTGTTTGTGGCGTTCATTATGCCATGAGATTTGGTTCTTTTGCAGGCCACAGTTTGGTCAATAAAGATCTTAGTTTTAACGAAATTCTCAAAAATTAAGCCATCATTCATTACCAATATCTACCATAATAATGAAATATATTTCCATCGTGTTGACGGATATGGAATTAAACATTGTGGGGGCCCGTTGGGTGATGTGTCCCCCTGCGAGCAAATGGGAGACCTCTGCCTCCGTTTTCAGTAGGCTGTCTTATACTGCGACTGAAAGAAAACAGCAAACCAGATCAACCTATTCATGTAGTGAGCGTATCCTCCAGTCTAAAGGAGACGTTCACCATGCATGTACAGCTGTTGCTGTGAATGACTACCATCGTTCAATTCCTCTTTAGGGTAGTAAAGTACAAGCAAAACACCATCGTTACTCATTTGCTTCTTGGGCCACATAAAAAAGATAGGTAAAAACGGAGAGGAAATGCAGGGAGGTTAGCTACACACAGGCTTCGTTTTTGCATTCAGCAAATCACACAAACACTACGTCACCTTGACCACATCCACTAAAACAGATCATTATGAAAGAAAACATTTCATCATCATTGTGGTGGATTGACGAAAATTGATTATTGAAGGGGCAAGTATATTACGGTGGTTTGACTGCTGCGTTCTTCGAGCCAAGATGCAAGACATGTTATTGGCCCTAGACTGCATGTACCAAATAAATAATTCCGAGATCAGGCCTGAAGTACAAAGGGCGTGAACTAAAGACGAAATGATGTCGTTAATTGAAGCGGTTTGTGGGCTTGATGAAAACGGCCATTTTTTTTCTATCTGTGTCCAATTTATTTCTTTGATGCTTTTAACGATTTATAAGCCACAACAGCCCAGCAAAGCACTGTGTTGTCTCTGGAAACGATGAAGAGTATGAAAAAGAGAGGAAATATTTAAAATAAAGCAACGTGGTCATTAGTAGGCAACAGACGAACAAAGCTATAGCACGTGCATAAAACAGAAGGACAAAAAGAATAAAATAGATTACATTGCTGTACACACATTCATGTCACATTATTTGTTTGAGCACCTAATAACAGTCAAATTAGGACATAATAACAGTCATTACCAAAAGAACAATGATGGTTACTTTAATTTCTGCTTTACAATATGGTGCTATAATTATTTCTCAGTGCTTTTCTCTTATCTGCCATCTTCGCTCTTGCAGAATAACGTTTTTGATGGCAGTGCGCGCCTTCCGACCTTGGATGTGGCTTAACAGCATCTACAACTACTCTTTCGAAGGCATGTGGTTCCGAAAAATGGTCAGTGGAATCAATGACTTCAATCTAAGGGTAAGTTAAGTTGAATACGTTTGGCAGTTGCAAATGCTGTAATAAAACACAGCACAGATAATGATGCAAGAAGGAGCACGATCGAAGGAGGAAGGACAGAGAGGTTAGCTAGTTCTCAGAAGACTAACTATGAAGCTAATGAGGTGTGAAATAGTCATTCAGGAGTTGTCCTCATTGCAGATGAAAAAAATAAGCAGGTTTTACGCACGTGTTTGAGCGCGAGTAGTAAAGTTTCATGGGAGTGGCTAAATAAGTGGGCTTCAAGACATGTCTTCTCAAACGTGGAAATTCGGGCAATAGTCATTTTTACGCATCGTAGAGCCAACTACTTTCGTATTTTTTTTATCGTCGACATGTATTCGTAAAAAGGTGTAAGTCACTGAACCTCTTTTCTCACAGTGATATGCGAGAATTCTGCAGCCTATCTAAAATTGACGCACACCTACGACACACGAAACAAATGGCTAAATTATAAAAAAAACGGAAAAAAGCACATGGCTGTATAACATTTTGTAAGAGCTCAGTGAGGTTTACAGCAATGATTATGCCGGCATTTGTGTTTAGTTTTCCCACAGCAATAGTTTGTGCATTATTTCACAAAACAGTGGCATGCTTTAAGAACGGAAGCTTTGGCATCTCTGTAAGAATCCTTAATGGTAAAAAGACTCCACAGGATGACGATATCACAAAGTTGTGTTACATAGGCTGCCTGCTTTACCGTTCACTGCCTTCGTATGTTTGCGCATCTTTATCCTTGTGTAGTAGTTGCCTGCCTTAACGGCCAGCATATTATGTGTATGTAGGCTTATTTACAAGAGCCTGCACTTGGAATACATAAAGGGTCCCCATAGAAACTAGCGAACCCATGAACGTCGAAATAAATATTGACACCAAACATCGTGAAATAAGGTATCACTTTATAAGTAGGTGAAACATGAAGGGTTGACAGACGTAAGAAATTGGACATTTTAGGTTGAAATAAGCTTTATGGAGGCCCTCACAATCCTGAATGAAATAATTTTAGATGGAAGAAGTTTCAGCTGCCTAATATCTGTTATTTGAAATCGCTAGGTTGATGTCGATAGAATTACAATTCTTTACTTTCTGCCTAAGCATCTCCTACTCCTCGCCTAAATATTGCCACGTTACAGATTTTCGCAACTCATGATTGCTTGTGGCTACAACGCAGAAATCGATGGTTCCTCCAAGCGAATCTTGAGCGTGGTCGAGTTTGCGGAGACTATTGAAGCAGTACTTACAGCCAGCCTTCTGTGCGGCAACGCAGGCTTGCATGAAGGCGGCAGAAGCCACTTGAGCTACACGAAACGACAAAACGACATAAATTAGCACCCATCAAGAGATTTTACTTTTGTTAATAACAAATGCCATGATGCCAACGGATGATGAGAATCAAAGAAAGCATCAGGGAAATAATTTATACTGTAGGAAAGTATGCGAACGACGACGAAGAAGCAAGAAACGGCAAGCCACAGCGTTGGTGCACACGCGCGACCCGAGCTTGCGCTTGTATTGTATTTTCGGTCTGTTGACGTTCCTCGCTCTTCTGGCGTTCCTTGGCCTTCCAGTAGGTCTATACATAAATAAACTAGGTGACATCTGGTGGAGGTGCGTGGACTCCCGTACAAACCTGGAACTTCGCTCCCGTAAGCTTCCCCCTCTACGTGACACGAACATGGCCACCGAGACGCCTTTTCAGGTTGGACCTCCGACCGCCCACGTCACTTGCGGCGCCGTGTATCCTCAACGAGGCCCTCCTATCTTCACGGGCTCCACTGAGTCGGATGTCGAAGATTGGTTGGCGAGGTACGACAAAGTCGGCGCAAGTTAGAAATTGGACGACCCAAGTAAGCTGGGCTACGTCACGTTCTACCTTGCGGACACCGCGCAACTGTGGTTTAATAACCACGCAGCTGACATTCCTACGTGGTCTGCATTCAAGACTGCTATTACGGACGTCTTTGGACGACCTGCGGCACGCAAGCTTCAAGCCGAGCACCGTTTACGTCACCGCGCGCAGCAACCAGGCGAGACCTACACGGGCTACATTGAAGATGTGTTGCTATGCAACCGCGTCAACTCTACCACGCCTGAGGAAGAAAAAATCAGGCACATTTTGAAAAGCATTGACGATGGCACCTTTCAGATGTTGCTCGCGAGAAATCCCCCCACAATTGCTGTGCTCGTTTCTCTCTGTCAGAGCTTCGATGAGTTGTGTAGGCAGCGTGCAATTGCTCGTCAAGCCCTCACGACGCCAGACACACTCGCAAGCTTCCACCTAGCTGCCCATCCTACCGATCAGCAGCCGCTGCTTTCGACAATCAAGGACTTCGTCCGCGAAGAGGTAGCGCGCCAGCTGTCACTGCTGCCACTGACACATGAGCCCGCGCAAGCTTTGGCACCGGACCTCCAACACGCCATTCGAACCCAAGTCGCTGAGGCTCTTCCACCGTTGCATCAGCAACCACCTGTCACTACGCCTCTCACGTACGCCGCCGTCGCTGCTCGGCTTACGTAACAGCGGAAGCCGTATGCTCAACCTGCCACGCCGCCCTATGTCGTGCCTACAACCCCAATTGCTGCGCCGTATCCCTACGCGAGATCTTCAGCTTCATTTTACCGTCGAGCAGACGCTTCGAGGACGCCAGCTAATAGGCCCATCTGTTTCACCTGTGGTATCGCTGGACACGTCGCCCGCCACTGTCGACGAGATCCCCCTCCAGTTGACACCGTGGGCAGGCCAATTGCGTCGTCGTCTAGGACGCCATCAAGGTACACCACTGACGGTCATCGACCCTTCGCAAACCATCGGTCACCATTGCCCCGACGACGCTCCCTATCACCTATGCGTCGCCGACCTGCTACGGAAGAGGGAAACTGATCGCTGCAGCTCCGGAGGCAACAGCTGCACACCATTCGAACTGCTTAAGGCCTCCATCTTTCTCGCCGAAAAACGTTATCGACGTCAATGTTGAGAGAATCGCCGCACAAGCGCTTATCGACACAGGAGCCGCCGTTTCCATAATCTGTGAGACCTTATGCCGCAAGTTAAAAAAGGTGACGACGCCTCTTTCGGACCTGATGCTCCACACGGCCAACTCGCAGCGCATAGAACCTACAGTTGTGTGCACTGAACGTGTCATTATCCAAGGTGAACTTTATGCCATTGAATTTTTTGTGCTGGCATCATGCTCCCACGAAGTCATTCTTGGATGGGACTTTCGTTCGCGTCATCGGGCCATCATAGATTGCTCACAAGTAGAAGTTGCCCTTACACCGCTGCCAAGCTCTTGTTTGGTAGATTCTCTTTGTGAAGCTTACAAACTTGTCGTTGTTGCAGACACGGAAATAGCACCGAGAACATCCACCCTTGTAGCCCTGACCTGTACGGCCGCTCCTGCCGGAACTATTTTGTTCACTCCGTCGGACGTATTTACCCACCGCCATAGCCTACACCTGCCCTTTGCCATACTCACCGTGGAATCCGGTGCTACCGCCATGCTCGTTGCGAACTCGCTATCGTCGCCAGTTACCTTACTTCGCGGAGAATGTTTGGGTAACATACAAGACGTTACCCTCTTGCGCCCTCTGGAGTTTGTAGAGCACCCACCTAACCTCCAGCTCAATTCTATGACGCCACCTGTGGCCACACTGCCCGCGCCAGACTCATTCCAGCCCTCTGTTGCCGCTGAGCTATCGGCGACACAAAGACGCGAACTCTCGCCCCTTCTTCGAGAGTTCCGTTCTGCCTTCGATTGTGCTACACCATCTTTGGATCGCACAGCGAACATCACGCACCACATTGGCACCGGTACTCATGCTCCCTTACGCCAACGACCATATCGAGTTTCAGCGGAAGAGCGCCGTATTATCAACGAACAAGTCGACGATATGCTCAAGCGTAGTGTCATCCAGCCATCGCAGAGCCCTTGGTCGTCTACTGTTGTACTTGTGCGTAAAAAGGATGGGTATATCCGATTCTGTGTCGACTACCGCCAGCTCAATAAGATAACATGGAAGGATGTGTACCCATTGCCACTCATCGACGATGCTCTCGATTGCTTGCAAGGAGCAGCATATTTTTCCTCTTTAGATTTACGCTCAGGATATTGGCAAGTTACAATGGCTGATCCTGACCAATCGAAGACTGCATTTGTAACACCTGACAGGCTGTATGAGTTTAACGTAATGCCGTTTGGACTCTGCAACGCCCCAGCTACCTTCGAACGGATGATCGACACCATCCTTCGCGGCTACAAGTGGAACACGTGCCTCTGCTACCTAGACGACATCGTCGTTTTTTCTCGCGACTTTTCGACTCACCTTGTTCGTCTCCGTGCTATTCTCACGTGTCTCACCTCTGCTGGCCCTCAACTTAACCCCGAGAAGTGCCATTTTGCTGCACGTCAGCTCACTATACTGGGGCACGTCGTCTGCAAAGAGGGTGTTCTACCGGATCCGGCAAAACTTCGCGCCGTGGCCGACTATCCGAAGCCCAATTCCATCAAGACGCTTCGAAGTTTTATCGGCCTGTGCTCATACTTTCGTCGATTTGTGCGGAACTTCTCTTCCATCATCGCGCCTCTTACCAAGCTGTTGACAACTTCCAAAGGCATTTCTGCTTGGTGAAAAGAGTGTGACGAATCCTTCACTGCGCTTCGGCAGTTATTATCATCACCTCCAATACTACGTCATTTTGACCCCGATGCGCCTACGGAGGTCCACACCGACGCCAGTGGTGTCGGTCTTGGTGCTGTATTGGCTCAACGAAAACCAGGATGCCAAGAATACGTGGTCGCTTACGCGAGTCGAACCCTCAAGAAAGTCGAGTGTAATTATTCCGTCACGGAGAAAGAGTGCCTCGCAATTGTCTGGGCTTTGACGAAGTTCCGCCCATAACTTTATGGCCGCCCTTTGAAGTCGTTACGGACTACCACGCTCTATGCTGGCTATCATCGCTCAAAGACCCGTCGGGGCACCTTGGTCGTTGGGCGCTTCGCCTAGGAATACGACATTCGTGTTGTATACCAATCCGGCTGCAAGAACATCGACGCTGATGCGCTATCCTGCTCGCCGCTACCGGCTGACCCAACCTCCTCGTCACCTTCTTCAGCTGTCATAACACCAATCGACTTCACAGACATGGCATCGGAACAACGCAAAGATGTGTGCATTTCCCAACTCCTCGCCTTTCTGACTGATCCGTCAGCTAGTTTGGTCTCAAGAACTATCCGCTGTCAAGCCACACATTTCGCTATTTGAGACGACCTCCTCTATCGGCGTAATTACGCGTCTGAAGATCGGAGGTGGCTGTTAGTGATACCCAACCACATGCGTTCGGAAATATGTACAGCTTTCCACAACGACCGTCAAAGCGCTCACGCCGGCGCTCTCAAAACGTACAGTCGTCTACGTCAGCGGTACTACTGGCGCGGCATGTACACATTTCTTCGCAAGTACGTACGTGCTTGTACTGCATGTCAGCGACGGCAGCACTACCAGCAGAAACCGCTAGGGTAGTTGCGTTCTTCATCTTGCGCAACTTCGTTCTTCGCCATGGTGCTCCCCGCGAACTTTTGAGTGACCAGGGGCATGTTTTCTTGTCTGACGCCCTTCAAGCCTTGCTCGCTCAGTGCAACATGGTTCATCGCATGACGACAGCATATCACCAGCAGAGGAATGGCCTCACAGAACAATGTAATCGCACTCTCAGTGGTACGTTGACGATGTACACAGCTTCAGACCAGACCAATTGGGACACTGTCCTTCCATTCATCACGTATGCGTATAACACCGCTACGCACGCGACAACAGGGTTTTCCCCTTTCTTTCTGTTGTACGGACGCGAGCCATCGTGCACGCTGGACACTATTCTCCCATACACGCCCGATTCCTCTAAGTACACTGCAATTTCTGATGTTGCCAGGTACGCAGAATATTGCAGACGATTGGCCCGTTCACTGACAACCGAGGACCAAGGCCACCAGAAGCTACGGCATGACACCGACCGACATCTCTCTACTTTCACGACTGGTGCTCTTGATTGGCTCTGAATTCTACCGAGTACTCCTGGCCTTTCCTCGAAATTACTGGCATGATACCACGGGCCCTACCGCATTCTCGCCCGTACGTCACCAGTCAATTATGAGATTGAGCCTTTGACACAGTCTCATGACTTACGCCGTCATTACCGAGAAATTGTGCATGTGAGTCGCCTGAAGCCGTATTACGACCCCGCTATAGTGACTACGCCTTAAGTCGCCAGGTTGGCTACGCTATTCACCGGGGGCCAATGTAGGCAACTATGCGAACGATGACGAAAAAACAAGAAACGGCAAGCCACAGCGTTGGTGCACACGCTCTACCCGAGCTTGCGCTTGTTTTGTATTTTGGGCCTGTGGACGTTTCTCGCTCTTCTGGCGTTCCTTGGCCTTCCAGTAGGTCTATACGTAAATAAACTACGTGACAATATAAACATTTCTACACTTTTGCTGGTTTTTTTTAGTAAGTTGGTTTCAATAAAATGCGGCATATCAAAAAGGTGCTGTAGTTTAAAGATGATGTCACTGCAGAAAACGAACTACAGATAAAATAATTTCAAAGAAACAGGTTTGCTTATCGCCAAATATGACTCACCAGCCCGTAAGTAGGTCACCTATTTGAATAATTTTTTGAGTGACGTGACACGACGTGACAATGATGGCTTCGTCCCTCTAGGCGGTATTAATTGCGAAGCATTTCTTAACGATTCAAAGAAACATTGTGCTCATCTATCTATCTATCTATCTATCTATCTATCTATCTATCTATCTATCTATCTATCTATCTATCTATCTATCTATCTATCTATCTATCTATCTATCTATCTATCTATCTATCTATCTATCTATCTATCTATCTACGACTAGGTGCTCTCGTGATCGCCACTTTAACGTGGTGAACTACTAAAGGTATTGGAAGGTTCGAGGGTTTGACTAAGATGAGTTACAAGCCGTGCCATGAATAACGTGAAAATTCGGTTGTCCATGACGCTAAAACTGTCCTCCAGACACGTGTGGCACAAACCCGCATACCACTGGCCGAAGTATACGGTTATGTACCTTTTGTTAATGATAGTGTTATTAACGCAGGCACGGTGAGAACAAGCATTATCAATTTAAATACACATGAGTGTTAAGAGATACTAGCATCGGCAGTGTTGACCCGACAAATGGAAATAATAAAATTAAAGATCCCTGCTCAAGAGGAACCCAAGCGTTCTGTGTGGCAGACAGTTATTCAGCCATAGATGCACGCTTGTTCTTGAAACTGTATTGGGAAAACAGCGCCTGCAGGCGTAATATCGGTGCATCGTTTACTATAGTAGTAGTGCTGACCTACTAAATTTATATCAAAACAGTAAACATTCTACATACCGTCCTATAAAACAGGTGGCTTGTTGGGTTACCGTCAATTGTGAACCTAGTATAGGCTCCACTTTTATAGCAGTTTATGGAATATTACAACTGTATTTCTATAATTCATCAAGCTATCTTCAAATATTGCTCCACATGGCAGAAAACGATAACGAAAGTTACACTTTATATTCTGTTTAAGCACCATTAAGTGCTCTTTCTTTCAATGAAACTGACGTATGTGGTCTAACGTCAGTTCTGACGTAACTTCAGACCATAATTTACCCCTTGAAAGCTAGTGTAGTCGATGTTTCTGGGAAGTTCTCGATGTGCACAGCACAACACTTATAAAAATAGATCGATCCAACTCGTAACGCTTGGCTCAAAAGCAGAAAAAATGCAACATGGACAATTAGTCGCCAAATGCTTCGCATGAATTCGATTCCCAGGTGGTGTGGGAACTGCCTATTTTTTTTTTCAGATAATGAGAGAGCGAAAGAAGACATTTCACTTGTACAGGAACCAGGGGGACATCAGCGACAGTGAAAACGAGAGCGTCAAGGACAAGCAAGAGGATCAGCCCGAAAGACGTATGGCAGTGATCGATATCATGCTCGACAAGCACTTCAAAGACCCGAGCTACACTATGCAAGAGATACGCAAAGACATGGACTTGCTGCTGTTCGCGGTGGGTTTTATTATCGGGCCTTTCTAACCAACTCAAGCAAGCTTCTTGTTTCAAATTCATTCGTAACGGTATCTCCACTGCGTCATTTTAGCCCTCGAAGGAGTGACTTTTGTGGTAATATAGGAGTTCATTGCTTCATTGGGTAGTGTGAGCAGTTCTGCAATAAAAATTATTCGGGGTATCATTGCTGTGTTCACCCACCTTACATTTTATGGAAGGTTCATAATGCTTTTTTTTTCATCGAGGCACTTATGACGCTAAAGGATCTCACCAAGTTGTTGTGCAGAGACGCTGTCAACGTAACAGGGGCTTCAAGCATTATTAGAAGTTACAAATTCTGCTGTCTCATATACTGAACAAGGTGTCAAGCAAAGCGGGTCGCCGAAAGAATGCCTAATTGTAGTCTTCAGAGCAAGACTCCCTGCTGCGCATGAATTGATTCGTTTAAGCGTGGTTTCGCGGAATATATGTGCCTGCAAAAGAAGTACCCAACCACCTGGATGTGGCATTAATAATCAGCATTTGTGTCTCAACGCAGGGTCACGACACTACCTCTATTGCTATGGGATGGACATTGTACCTCTTGGGACTTCATCCCGAAATCCAGAGGAAAGTACAGGAAGAATTGGACGCCATATTTATAGACGACATCAATCGAGACGTGACGAGAGATGACATAGAGCGTATGGAGTTCCTCGAAGCATGCTTCAAGGTAATGCGAAAAGCTATTTGCGCTTGTTGATAATGGAAGTAACCACCCGTTAAAATAATAAGCGCTGTTCAATTTGACTAGGGTGTACTGTTCCCACCGAGGTTGCATTTTCTCTTACTTTTTCAAACAAGCCGGGGTAGGAACAAATTGTTGTTAGAGTGCTGAAGATGTGCAATATAAAGAAGTGCCAAATTTGCTGAAATAACGTTTTCTCGTTCTGCAGCTGGCAGTATTTGAAGAAATACGGTATCGCTTCCGTGTCTCTACAACGAATGAAGCAAACTATTTGCCATTCGGCATAACGTATTCTCAAAATAAATTGTAGCATTAAAGTAGTATATGCGGAGTGGCAAACCTAATAAATAAGGTCTTGACAGGATGCCGTTTTTGCCCCCGTAATACAAACCAATCCTTTCTTCACAAACTGCATAATAATTAATACCTCTAAATTTATTCAACTATGTCCTCGCAATATCTTATATTTTCGGGGGTATAATTGGTCACTTTTTGACTAAAATACCTTACCATACACTTGCCGGACATGAATAGTGCTCGTTTCGGTAACGATAGATTTCAACTTGTTGCAAATGATAACTCAACCTGCTCATGTCACTAACACTTCATAATTAGGTTTCACTAACGTCCCTAAAATGAATAATAAAATCATCTTGTTGGATGGCTTCAGTGATTAAGCTACTACGGCGTACTTTTGTTATCCTTTTGAAGTTTATTGGCATCAATACGACAAAATGATTTGTGACCGTAACAGTTGAGACTTCACAAAGGTAACAAAGAATTGGAGGCCATTCTTCTGGCACCCTTTTGCCTTCGTTTGCGGATTGGTCGCTTTATGAAAACAGTCTTTTTTTTTTTCAAAAAAAGCAGTGTCTCTTAGAGAAAAGTATATCCCTCTAATCAAGATACTGGGGATTATGTGGAATCATTGGTTCACCAAATACCTCCGAAGGTTACGAAATAAAAAAAGGCTAGACAAAAGCGCAAAGCGCACAAACTCGCCTTCGGCATGGAACAAATACGGTCTTTTTTTCGAAGCATATTGGGTGATTTTAGGAGAGGCTAACGATAAATACTACTCACATGATGTTTCATATCTGAACTCAAACACAATGCCCAGAAGTTTACACAGGCGCTTTATCGTAGTAACGGATCGGGTCACATTTCTCTATGTGATAGTAATCAATTTCCTTTTAGTGAAAAGGAGTGAAAAGTCACCTTTCTTACGCTATTTTCATCTATATTCACTACAAAAAATCATTGAAAGATTCCGCAAGTCAGTTATTTATATTACCAGTACATGAAATGCGCTGGTAATATCTTTTTCTGTAATTTTGTGATGCACCCCTTACTCAATCTCTCCATGGTGCCTGTGAACTTCCTTAAAATTGACAAAAAATGAGACCGACTGGACGCTGTGTATTGTGCCTAAAATAAAACATTGTTTATGGAGTGACATTTTCGTAAAATACTGCCTTCGAAACACAAGCGGAGGCGTCATGAAACGCAAATCAATGGACGTTTTCGACACCGTAACTGACTGAAATGCTGCCATTGCAATTTTTTCAAATGAAGATTAACCCTAAATTTTGATGGTAGGCCCAGCGCCTTGATATTACACGAGAGCTTAAGCTCCACGCGGGTTCCGTATAGAAATATTCGAAAGGACAGTCCCGCATTTTCATCGCATTTGCTAAGTACAGTGTGCACATATGATGTGCTCAACTGTAAATAACGTTTCTTGCAAATGAAACAATTGCTGTTCATTTTTACCAAGTTTGCTGTTATGACTAATATTTATAAGAAATGACTATAATACCAATGGAGCTAGAGTAAAGCTTTCTTTTGAGCTGGTATTTAAACGGGACACAAACGAAACCATCTGATTTTGAGATATATTCGAGGCAATGTTATGAAGGACAGAAACCAAGATTGAGATAGACTAACAAATATTCAGAGAACATTGAGATGATTTTTATGGTTAAGCGTGAGATTCGTAAATTTGCCAATCGACTGCCTAGGAACTTTTGGCAGCTAAGGAGAACAACTTGATTTCATTTAATGCTCAGGTTTTACTTTGTATATAACAGTTTTCATCGAAGCACACACAGCACAAGAGTACACGTTGGTAATGATACAGCAAAATATAGGCATCGAAGGACAACCACCTCCACCATGTTATGACCCTATCACGCGTGGCTTCCTTCCATGCATGCCCTTTCGAAATGAGGGGTTATTGCAGAAATAGAGCATTCGCAGGTGGTATAGTCACTTCGCAGATGGTACTGATACGACCATGGCACATGCTGCAGATATTGGTTTCACTAAATGGGGAACTAGATGGCGACGAAGATGGGTGACACAAAAAAAAAATGCCACCCGGATATTTCCAAGGGGGGAACTCGAGTAAATGCGTCGCAAAGTGTTGAAGGTATCGCATGATTGTTGCGTATTTGGGTATGGTTTGGGAATTCCTAATTGTTATTTCGTTTTAATTATTCTTATTTATTCAAAGAAGCAGAGCCATTGCATTAAATGTCAAGCGAAAGCCAACCAAGGACGGCCTTGACTGAATTCCTAACGCACGATCAAATGCCTACACATATGAGGTGACCCTTGAACGGCTGTGCAGTGCAAGCAGTTGTTTTTTATTTACTAGCAGACGTTGCCTGCGTCGGCCGAGGCGAGAGAGGGGGAAAGGAGCGAAAGTTTTGCTTTTGTTTTTTTAAGCTGGTATGAGACGCGAGCATGTGGCACGAGACGTGAGACGCGATCATGTACAGTGGGGATGTGGACGGTGCCACCACTAACGCCAAAGAGTGACTTCCTGGGACCAAGAAATGCTCCGCATTTAAAAAATTTTGGTAGAATATATCGATGAATAGGACAACTATGGCTGAAACAAAAATTGAAGGAATTACATAACTGATCACAGGATGTATGACTGTTGCCGTCTTCAGAGAGCCCGATTTAACACTGGAAGCTTGAGAGTATCAATTACTCGGCCGTTAATCGGGCGACAATTTTCCTAAGAGAAGGTACCTATTAGACTAGCTTTCGTATGACTTTTATGCGAATGAGCGGCAGGTATCGTCTTCTGTGACCATCCCTAGGGAGTGTTCATGGCATCCCAAGTGTAGGGGATAACAGAGAGTGTGCCGAATTTCGTGGTGTTTCATGTGTTGATTCAACACATAAATACCACTTTCGCAATCATAACTTTTTTTGGTTGCTCCAGAGAAAATTTACTGAAGCCTTCACCAAAGAGGCTTGCAGAAACTATTTTAATGAGCACTAAACTCACAGTTTACAATCATCGGCAAGTGAAATGTGTCGGGTCTTGCGCAAAATTTGTTTCTCTCGGTTATTTTCTGTGGATTAGTCGTATGTTTTTTTATCGCAAACTTTACCTCGTCGTTAACGGTAGCAACACGTTAGAAATTGGGCCATGAGCATTTTGTACCCTCAAACGAACTGCTATCTTATACTTGTGATTATTTTTTAGGAAGCCATGCGTCTTTTTCCTCCAATACCATTCATTGGAAGGGTCCTCGATGAAAGTATTAAGCTGGGTGAGTTTTCAATATCTTCTGTAAGATGTTCTTAAGATGCCTTTTTGTTTGTCGTAGATCTGCCGCATTAGATCAGCATGTTTGGATCACCTATGTATTTATATGCAATTAAATGTTTTAGTAAGAAATGACATAAAACCCTCACATCGCTGGTCACCTATGTGCTGCTGATCGTTCCCACTTTGCTGTTGTGCCAGCAGAGCCTTTTTACGCTCCTGTGGTACATATACTCCAATTTGTAATAAAATATTCTTATGGTTAAGGTACCGACCTCGGCCAGTGCTGCACTGCGAGAGGCTTTGGCATGCAAGTAGTGTAATTGCACCAGTTCTCATTAGGGTGTGCCTCCTAATCACACTCTGGTTCTCGCACGTAAAGTGTCAAATTTATCGAGAGTAGCGAAAAAAAAAGCTCGATCCCTCCATTCTAGCAATCAGGAAGAAATCGTGTCGTTACAGTTTATAGTGGTTGTAAGGTTACTCTGCTTTGATATAGCATAGCTTACGCAATCTACATGATTTCTTTCATGAGCTCCATACTTTTGAAAGTCGACAGCCATGATTATATGTTGGTGATATAAATGTAGTTTGAACGCAAATGAAAAAAAAAGTGACACATGCATATATACAGAAGGGCAATGATTTGTTTCCGTATTACTCATTTTACTGAAGCAAAAAATAACTCCCAAAACGACTGTTGGGAATAAAAAGCCATATGCAGTTTATATACAGATACTGCAAATTGTATCGCGGTGTTCTGTTTGCCCAAAGACGTGTGGAATAAGAGTCGCATTCGAAGATTATTACAAAAGTTCGTTTGCCGCGGCTCAGCTTCAGGAGAATTTTGAAGAAAAAGATTAATTTCTTGCCCTTGGACCCCATATTCAAGCAGATGACTGACTGACTGTTGACGGGCCTATCACCAGAGAACAAATTATGTTTGCATTATTAACGCTGCAGAAAAACAAAATACGCGGCCCAGTTGACAGTAGTAATAAAATACATAAACTCTAGCAACTTCTTATACCTTCTTTTGAAGTTTCTTAAAGAGGCTTATGAACGTGGTAAACTTCCTGCTTCTTTCTATCAAAGTTATGCAACATTAATCCCCCAAAGTACAGAATCTGAAGCATGAAAGAGTGTTAAAGGATATAGGTCTATATTGTTATGTAACGTTGACTCCATAATATTTGCAAAATTGGTGACAAATCGGCCATAGACGGTGATCGCTAAATCTGCAGGTCACCAGCAAACGAGTGAAACTCGAGGTCGCTCAGTACAGAGAAATATCTATATATCGCGGTCAGTTCCTGTGTTTATTGATGGAAGTGTCAACCAAGCAACTCTTCTTCGAATAGACCTTGCTAAGTCATTTCATAAGGTAGAGCATGCTTTATTTTTTTTTTCAGCTCCTAAGACACCTGCAGCTGGGTGACGTACTTTACAATTATATTTGACTCTGTTACAAGAAGTGAACTACTAGGCTAATGGTAAACCACACACATACACATAAACATAAATAAAGCAGAGTTGAATTCATGTTTACGTCAGAAATGTCCGCTCTCGCCTTTGCTCTTTGCAATTTATCTGGAACCAATATGTTTATGCGTGCTTCTAAATTCTGGCATAAGAGGACGCCAATATGAGTCTGAGTAAGTTAAAGTTCTAGCTTATGCAGATGACATTGTCTTTTTTTGCGTTGATAAACCCACCGTTCAAGGAGCAGTAAACACTTCTTTGCGTTTCTAGGAAGTGGCTAGCGCTAGCATAACTTTGATTAAAGTTGATAACTCAGTCTAGGCATGTGGGCCCAAACACCTTCGGTATTCTCAAATATCTATTGGAATGTGACTTCTATGCGGTATCTTCATGTGTCTCTCGATAACTATCGCAATGGCGGCCCACATTGAACCTTTGCGATAACAACGGTCCACTGAAAGTTGGCAACATGGCACGGAGGAGACCTTTCTGTTTTCGCGAGAGCGAAAGCGTGCAATACATTTCTTGCATCAAAGCTTATTTATGTTTCGCAGGTGCCGCACTTCTCTTTTGTGCACATTCACGAGTTTCATAGGATATTGGCGTGTTTTATTTGGTGATTCTTATGGGGACCCATGAAGAGAGACGTCCTTTTTCTTCCGCTTGAAAAGGGTGGCCTCAGCTTGGTGCATTTGTTTGTGCGAAAGTTGGTGTTGCATTTTTTTTTTACTCTCGTTATCCTGCGTACACATTATCGCTTCCTTCTTTTGTATTTCAGATGGCATTACGATTCCTAAAGGTACCACAGTGTTCATAAACATATTTGGTCTACACAGAAACAGCAATCACTTCGAAAAGCCCGAAGAATTCATACCTGCCAGGTTTTTAGATGGAGCTGACAAGAAGCGGCACCCTTTCGCATACATACCATTTTCAGCTGGTGCGAAAAATTGCATAGGTAAGATTGCATCCTACATACAGTGAACAATAAGGTTTTATTACGAATATGGTGGTGAAAGGTCAGGAACGAAATGTCATCTTTCTTTAGCTTATGTTCGTGCATTGATGAGGAAATAAAAGCATTTGGCTATGACCATCACCAAGCCAAATAGAACGGTGATCTCTTTCATTACCATTTTGTCATTATTTTAAAGCCTATTAGCACTACGGTAATACAGCCGACCAATCCTCTTATTAAGTGCATTCTATAGAAATCTTGGAATACTGCCGAGCTTGATAGTACATATATGAATGACCTAATCATACGGCAGAATGGTTCTTCGCGTACTTGTATGCAATTTTCATTAAACTTCATTAAGTGTCGCAGAACAGAGCTATAAGCCCATCAATGTTTACCAATATCAGATAATTAGAATCAATTCAAATTCAACAGATAGTATTCATTCCGTGATACATGATGCATGCAATAGCATTACGGCTGGATCAATGCACATTCATTAGATTGCATTCATTGCGTGATGCCTCATATGATAGGTTGATGCATGCATGCTCACCACGTATTCTACTTATTCAAAGAACCGAAAGAAGGAATTGGTCTTGGTGATTATAGAGCATTGAAGCTTGCATCTTTTCCAGATTCATAGACAAAAATGGATTTAAAGTACTTTTTTCAAATAAAGCAAAATAAACTTGGCATTGATAAGCTGTAATGGCTACGCCCCTCAGACAAAAGAAACGTGCGAACTAAGCCCATTACGAAACCGTACTGAACAGTTGGATATTCAATCTTGCGGTAGCGAATCCAATTGTGAAATTAACTACCCAACTCCATTGGCATCAATATGTCAGCGATTTCCAAATTGAGATCGATGTGTATTCAGGAAATTTGGCAAGCAAGTTTTCTAGTACGAAGGGATAAGTACAATTTCGTACATATTTTGCAAAATGGCAGTGAATTCAGGCGTGTGCCAAACACTAAACAAGTGATTAGTTTATTTAAAAATTCAGTGCCACATGTTAAGCAAATTTACAGGCGTTTACCATATTTCGATATATGTAATCTTAGTGTGCTCTTTGTTTATGACCCTCTATGAGCGTTCACAATATAGTAAACACAAATAAGCTGGATAACCTGGTTGGTATGATGCAAGATCAACGTTTGAATATATCGTGTCTTTTTTGGAACATGTACGCAATCACCTCTTTTTCGGTGCCTTAGCAGGAGCACGTGTCGCTTCTTGAAAATCTTTCAGTCAACTCCATTACAACTATCTCACTCTGTAGCTGAAAGCCTGTTTTTAGTTGTGTTAGTGTAAGCAAATACTCTTTTTCCGCTTTAGAGTAACATGAAGGCGCTTAAAGTTAAAAACTAAGTCCTATTATGTTGTGTGTAGAAAGTGTATTTGAAATATTTGGCGAGACACAGAGAGAAAAATGCTGAAAATGAGCGGGCTGCTGGTCAAAGCTTCCCCGCCAAGGCTCCTAAGCTAAGCTGGCGCACAAAACCAGAAGCCGTCCAGAACCCGTGTTTCTAAACGGTGGCGTGGTCTTCAGCAAATGCTGTTGCAGGCAAGGATAGGGTTAATGTTTTACGTAAAGAAAGTGTAAAGCTTTACAACACGTAGCAGTGAGTTGCAGCAACTAAATTTGGTGACAGCAGCGAGGTTTTATCACACTGTTGATTAGCGCTCATCAGGAACTCTATTCGTGCATAGCCTATGCTGTTTTGGCCTAAGAGGCAAGTGAAAGTATTCTCATACATCTCGAGAAGTTTAGTCTGGTGGACGTTAATTTGAAGGCAAGCAGGTGATATTCGCCGCAGACGTGGCGCCTGAATACCTGCTTTCGAATGACCTGGCTTCTTTATAGCATATACCAACTTGAATTCAGGTTTGTCCTTTACATGATATGCCTCGTGAGGCTTTAGCCACTAGTTCAGCTACCCTCGCTTACCACCGTAATTTGCCTGAGAGCAGTTTTTTTTTCTCGTTTGCAGTTCCGGCTGCCTCTAATGAACGATATGCGGTAGGGGGAGGAAATCCGTACGATCGTACAGTCCGCGGTATTGCACGCACATTCGCATGTTGGGTGCCCGGCGGTGATTGCCGTTACGTTATCAGCAAGCTCGATGTAATTGCTCACAGTCGCCATATCAAATCATCGATGTGAAGGCATAATTGTCTCAGACATAGGGCATGTTTAGCAACTCCAAGTGTGGTCGCTGCAAATTTATTTATTTTATTTACAGCACACTAGGGTCACGAAAAACGATACAGGTGGGACACAATGTCGTGGCAAATGTCGATGCACAAGTGGAGCTGTAAGGCACACAAGTTCAGATAAAAGTGAAATAAAACAAACTTATCGGTATATCTTGAAATTTTTAAAATACAGTGCAACCTACCCAGATAACAAAATAAAACCGCTCAAAGGAGAGTGGCGCATAGTATAGAATAAAAGAAAAAAAGGCAAAGTAACCCAATCTCACTCTTCTAAACTTATTTCTCCCCAAATCGAGTACAAAGCATATAGCAACTGGATTCTAAAGAAAGGCTGGGCCTGCACGGAACGCGCAGCACAGTCACTGCGACAGCTAGAAGAGCGGCCTTTAAGAGCCTTTTCTAAACACTCTTTAGGTGACTGCCAGAAGCACACTGCTGGGCACTCACTACGCCATAAATAATCATAATTTTTGCGTAGTAGGCCACCATTCACTATGCCATATTTCGTCATTCATTGGAGAAGCGTATATTCGCTACGCTTTTGTTATAAATTTGGTGCAGTGACTGGAGACGACGAAGAATTATGCCCTAAGTGGGTATGCACCACAGTTAATAGGAGATCAAGAACAAGTTTTCTATTGCGTTGGAACATTCTAGGACCCACTCTTAACGCGATTCGCATTGTGTGACCCCTAGCTGTTTCTTTGATGTTCCAAAAACGCTTTATTACTCACATTTACGCAATTTCTTTCCGGACATCAAGCCTGCCTAAGGCCAGTTCAGACCGAGTTCCAAGTACTGGAATGGCTCAGTGGTAGAATACTGGGCTGGCACGCAGCGTACCCGGGTGTGAATTCAACTGTGCCAATAATGTTTTTTATTTACTGAGTTTTTTTAGGGATCTGGTTACGGGCAGCAGCGGCGGCGGCAGCGGACAACTGCGGCGCCGCGCGTGACCCATGTTCTGGTCTTATAACAGCTTTCGTTGTAAAAAAGTAAAAAGCCTCTTTGAAATACGTCGGGTGTGTAGATACAGTATATGCAGATTGTGAAATAACAATGTGTTATAAGGCATGTAGCGAAAAATGACAAAGGGCAGAAGTGAAAAAGAAAAAAAAGGTAAAAATCAATTGGTGATTTATTCTAGAAACACGTACCGCGCAGCTTCAGTTCCGCCTTTGTCAACTCCAGTTTGGATGCGGAGTAGCTTTGCCCTTATTACAATGAAAGCTGTTATGAGATCACAAGAAGAGTCACTTGCACCGTAGTTGTACGCCACCGCCGGTGTCCGTGACCACTCTCACACCAAGTGAAAAAAAAAAGAAAACTCACAGAATAAAAATCATAAAGGACACAATGGGTTTCAAACCCGGGTCGCTGCGCACCAGCCAGTATCCTACCATTGAGGTACGCCGTTGCTCCGAAATCCGAGGCAAACGGACCCTAGGCACGCTTCATGTCGGAAAATGAGTCACTATAATGTACGTCGTAAAGTGCTTTAAAACGGCAAAGGAATAGCCAGGCATCACACAATGCGAATTTTTTCATGAGTGGGCCGTCGAATGGTACAACCCTATCACATTAACGCTAGGCGTAATTGTTCATCGTTGTCAGCCACAGAATAAAAAAAAATTGCCCAAAATTTCTTGCAAGTGTCTAGCGGGTACTATTCTTCACTGAAAAATGACGAAGCATGGCATAGAATCCCCTGAAGTGGGTGTGAGTCATACATATAGGTCATCATCGTCATTATCATCATCATGAATGCCTCCCTTCTTCACAAAAACTACGATAGCTTACGGCGTAGTGGGTACCCTGAAAGTGTGCTTGTAGCATTTACCCAAACTGTTTCAAAAAAGCTCTCAAAAGCTGCTCTGCCAGCCTCTACTGTGACTGTGCAGCACGTTCCACGCAGGCCTGGTGGTTTTTGTTTTATTTACTCCCCTTATTTTGGCATCTGTCATCATGATCCTGAGGCGAAGTCATGATACAATTATGTGACATGCATTGGGTGTGGCTCGCTGCACAACACTAGGAAACAATCTACTCACTATGCGCTTACATAAAGTCTTTTAAATCTAAATAGTGTTATATCATTTAAAAACTTCAATAATGACCTAAATCAAATGGTGAGAAGGTATTAAAAGTACTTAGGTAAACAAAAAGCACTCAGAAGGCACTATTAGGTCTGTCTGTTAATAAAGTCCATATCACTTCACCCTTTCCTATTTAGAAAATATACTCCTCCTAAATAGCAGCTGACTACTGAAGTCTGGCCTTGTGGGTTGTTTTGCTTTTGCGTTGTATCATTTGGCACCGTTTTCCCACTTACTGCAGCCTGTCCCCCCTTGTATCACTCAAAACAAAGAAAACGAGTATAATGATTGTGGTTCACTCTAATGTTACCCTACTGAATAAGTAAATTATTATTTTGCTGCCATATCTAATCGCTTATCCGCTAACTTTAAGTATGCGTGCCCTTAATTATGCTGCTTACGCCGCGCATGATGTCAGATATCTTCTTGCCTCCACCTGCAGGTCAGCGCTTCGCGTATCGCCAGGGCAAAGTCGTCTTGGCCAAGGTGCTTTTGCGGTACACCTTCAAGGCCAGCTGGCCTCTGGACAGGCTTAAACTGAGTACAGAAATGGTAACCAAGGTCAAGGGAGGACTCCGCGTCTGGGTGCGTCACAGGAAGCCCGGCCAGTACGCATGAACCTTCAAACACTTTGTAAACTGACAGGTGTGATCAATTTAACGCTCCTGTGACTGCCACTATTTGTGCGCGACCACGTGAACCATGACGAGAGGCCGCGCTTCAAGAGTGCTTTGCCGGCATGCGAAGTCTTGGACGGAGACCGAGACAACTGCTTTGCGAGCGAAAACGCAGCTGAGCGGAACAATGGCCAGGGAACTATAAGCGTGTCTCTTAGATACAAAAAAGGTAGTTTCACTGAACACAGTTTTCACGCAGAATGCTAGCGTATTTGGCGACGCCATTGCGACTACAAGACGGGCAACATTCGTCGGCGTAATCAGATAATTAGCATTATTAAGCCTTGTTTAGTGTTGTGTCTGAAGAACTTTAATACAAAAAATCAAGGCCAACCTAAGAAAAAAATACAAGACTTGTTTTCACAGGATTGGTGTATTTTTCTACTATTTTATGTTCTTCTGATGCGTGCTGTGGAACCACAATCAGGCGAAGTTATGAGCTCGTCTTGGCCACATGGTGCACGTTGTGTTTGTTGTCATACGTTCACGATAATTACTGGTAAAACCTCTGAAATGTTAGGTTATTGAAAACAATTTTTTTTCATTTGCTACAATTTATTCCTGATAATATAGCTTGTATTGGAGGAAAATGTAATATAAATATGCAGCTCAGACTTGATTTTTTTTGTTTTTTTTCGGGAGGCTATGTAATGCCTACAACTGCAAGCACATAATTGGATACGAAAATCTGCTCGATGAGGAGGGCATAGATCTGTTTTAGTTCCTTGAATTGATTAATCACAGGGTATGCCTCGCACAGTCCTGCTTTCTAGTGTCTTGTCCAGCTTTTTTATTTTGTTGTGCTTTTTGACGTTATACACTGCTCTGCAGTTTTGTACCCTTGGTCGTCTGACATCAAGTATAACCTGATGCTGCCTTTGCTTCCATCGGCTCGCTTGTACGACCACTGATGCAAAGCGTAGTGTCTAAAAATACACATATACAACAAAGCATTGCTAATTGAAGGAAAAAAGTAAGGAAAGAGACCTCTTCTGGCCCACAGAGGAAGAATACTTGTCAAGCTGGAAAGGGACTACAGCGAAGCAAGCCTAGACGTCATGATAAAGAATAAATTTTGTCAAAGTGCAAGCGTTCTCTGTAAGCATGAGTAATCGCAGTCACATAAAGCAACGAGTCCCGACTTCTTACTTCACCTTGGCTTGTGAAGGGCTTCTTAAAAAACAAAAAAAAAAAGGTTTGCTTGAGAGACAATATCCACTCCTGCGTGCTCTCCTAAAGTGATGACGTCATAGTGTGCGAAAGCAATTAGACCTTCCGGCGCGTGACGTAGGCACCGCAGCGTTCTGAGGCAAGGAGGTCTCAGTCACGCCATTGTGTTAAATGAGCAAGGTTCACTTGTACACCGAGGACCATGAACAAAGCGAAGGAAGTTGGCAGATAACGGGAAGCACACGTGTGTGAGCCATGTGATTGCAACGTTTCGGAATGCGTGATATGAGCAGCGATATGCAGAAGGGAGGTGGCTTGAAGTACTAACCCTGCGAGTGACGCAAGTCTCTCCTATTTTTAGAGCACATTGAAAATTATCTATATTCAGGTGTAAGAAATACGTTGGTGATGTACTTTGGCGCACAACGCTTGAATAGCCCAATTACAACTCTAGGCAAAATTTTGCACAGAGTAAAAGCCATAGCACCGGCCCATGACCTCGCATTTGGTTCAATATTAACAAGTGAACAAGTTCAATATTAACAATATTAACAAATAGAAGTTTGTGTCATTGCCTATAGTAGTGGCTGTAAGTGTAGACGTGTAATATGTTTTCGTCTTTCTTATTCATTCCGTATTTTTTAATGAACTGCAAGCTACCTTTTATAGACCTCTAGTGGCATGCTCCAGTGAAAGTCGTCGCATAACACAGCTATGGCGTTGCCGCCGACAGGCTATAGAGCTTTCGGCGTTACGCATATATGGCTCTCCTCATTTTTGCCAGAACCGATGCAGTTCTCAAACGAGCACACAGGCCTATGAGACCTATAGCCGACATAAGTACTCCGAGTGGCCCGCCATTTTTGTTTGTTTTTTGGAAGACGCAACGATTATCTTAATAGACACGAAGGACGCCTACTTTTTCATGGACAACATCAGCCGGGAGTCGCACTCTCAATCTTGGCAGCACAACATAGTAGCATCGTCGCGCGACGAGCGGAATAAGAAATCAAACAAGGGTAGAACACAGAGGTAAAGTTGTATGTTTATTCCTTCCTTGTTTAGCTTGTAGCAATAATATACGGCTATATTGGTTCGATGACAAATAAATTGAATCGGAACTGCCACTTCGGGAAAAGTTGGCAGCTCGCGACTCAGTTCCGTGCCTGTTTCCAACGCTTCAAGTTAGCGCACTTCCTACAGTCATAAAACTGCTGCGTGTTATATCATACTGAGTTACATCACAGTCACGAGCTAACTGGGAACGCCACGCGACTGCGTTCTCCCAAGAGATGGAATGTATGAAATGTGGAACTGGTCCCACTTCATGAATTGTTTCACAAGAAAGAAGAAAATGACCATTTATACTTTTCAGAAGCTCGAGAATCGACGAACTGGTATTGAGCTTTGAAACCCAGCAGCCATACTTGTAGGTACCTTTCAAAGTGTGCTAGATTTGCTTTTGAGCAGATTTGTTCATAGTCGATGTCAATCTTACATGTATGGGCAGTCTCAGTGTAAAAAGCTTCGGTTGATCCACGCCGGCACCACCTACATTGTTACTAAGACGCGTATTGAAGGAACATGAAGAACCAAAGAATAGAGCTTTTCGTCTTACTTCGAATTTTCCTTCATAATGACTGGTAGCATTATGTGGCTCTATTATCCTCTTTATTATAGGTCAACTTACACGGAGCCACTGAAATTTTCAAGTGAACGGCATAATGCACCATGTTTCGAGACATAGAAAAATGTGTATGAATTAATGCATTCATTCAAGTGATCATGCAGTCAGTTTCGAGGTATGCTGGAAAGAATTCTTGGCGTATGCGTCAACGTTTAATGAGGCATGGTTGTAAATTTCACCTGACCAATAATTATTGTGTATCCTGGTTGGCTCATGTAGCCGAGAAACTAGCGAATGGATTGTTTTTTTTCTTATTTTATTTTTCAAATGCAACGCCGATGTCACTGTCATCGTGACACGACATTACGGCTTTTCATACACCTACAAACAAAAACACATGCTGTATATATGGGAATAATGCGATCACATGTGCCATTGCAAGTGTTGTTTGCTTAAGATCACATAACCTTGGAAACCACTTTCAACTAAAAAATGCGCTATTTTTTCAAACAAAACTTCATCCCTTGTATGTATGCATGAAGGCAAAGCGTTGCGGCACGTCATTATCGAAACATATCTTCGGTTTAGAAGGATAATATTAATCAGTATGATTATGAGGTTTCGCATCTCAAAAGCACGATAGGAGTATGAGAGACGCCGTAGTGGAGGTCTCCAAAACTTTTGACCAGCTGGGGTTCTTTAACCCACACCCAGATCTAAGCACAAGAGCTTGAAGCATTCTCGCCACCATCAAAATTGCGGCCGTAATGGCCGGGATTAATCCCTGTGACCTGCAGGTAAGCAGCTGAGTGCCTTAGCCACTTGACTCGGTGGAGAAGGAAGTACACACTGTGCTTAAAGAAACAATACTTGCATGAGAAAGGAAAAGACAAGACGTGCATTGTGACAGGAAAGCTCTCTTGTGTTTCATGTTTATCTTCACATTTCCGACTTATTGTCTATGTGGCCCTGCCTCGCTTTTGTTTCTTTCTTTAAACAAGCGTTTTGAGCTAGAATTTATTCCGTAACCAGCTTTATTATGGCGTGAAAACCTATTTTATGCGCCAAGTTATAATCGCGACCTGAAAGGAAAAGAAAGAGCATTAGATATGCGATGATAATATAAGTCACTTCGAAGCAAGAACTGCAGCGTACCCGTCCGCAACAAAAAAATGAGAGAAAAAGAAGCAATGCGCGTATATTTTCTTCGCTTGGCTATTTATTTGAAGTTTCCTCAAGTGTCCAGAAAATATATTGCTTTACATTTTGGTCCATCCACTGCGTTGTACTCAGAGGCAAACAGGAAATATGGCACAACTTTCTTCTCTTGCTATTCATTGCAATAAACCTAAGAAAACCGGAAACAATTGAAAAATGAGAAAGTCGCTCGAGGTTTTTTGTGTACTGCGTGAGAACTTTGGCTTTATCATTAATTTTAACCTTGGGCTGAAGAATTTCTGGATGCCACGACAACTCCTGTCTTTATTGTTTCCCTCTTTTCCTGAAAGCGGCTTCAGTGAAAGGGGCATAAAGCTATTGGCTACATGGAACAACGGTAAAAGTGCTATATAAAGCGGTTTCGTTGATCAAGGTATGAATCTAAACCTGTATTTATTTGCCATACGCATGAATATTCGAGTGAAACGAAAGTCCCTGTTCAAGACCTTAAGGAAATGAAAGTTATTGCGAGGTGCTTAACGTTCACTACAACCTTCAGACATGTTTTTCGAGATATCTCGGCAATGACAACAATACTGATTAGGTTAACACGCAGGAAACTTCCGAGTTTTTGGTGCTCTTGATTGGTTTTCCTACCATTTTTTTACGTTTTCTTTTCTTAGTTCTTGACACGTGTTTGTTTCTGGTTGTGTGCCATCGATTATGGGAGTGCATACTTTCTTATATCACGTTCTTCATGATGACAGGGGAAGTCGGGAATGACGTACATGCGTGTTATGTATTTATCAGTGTTCGCTTTGAAATAAAATTTTCAGTTGCTAGTAAGCGCTGGTCTGTGTCCTCTCTGAGTGTGTGTATTTTTAGCGCTTGTTTCATCAGGAGCGATTTGTATACGTATTTAGAAGCGATCGATCATTACGAGTTATTTAAAAGCAGCTCAGTTGCTCTACTTAGTCATTTCTTAGTGACAATTCACAAAAAAAAAAGAGGTGAGGCGAACACGCAGATTTTCTCAGGGTATAATTAAGGCGTTCGTAATATGAAGGCACTTTTCAACTTCTAGCAATATGTGCGTATGTCGTAAAAGTTTTTTCACATCGGTTCATTTACGTACACACACATTCATGCAATATATATATATATATATATATATATATATATATATATATATATATATATATATATATATATATATATATATATATATATATATATATATATATATATATATATATATATATATATATATATATATATATATATATATATATATATATATATATATATATATATATATATAATGTGTTTTAAGCAATATATCCGATATTCATGAAGAAACGGGAAAATGCGCAATATACTCAGTGTCTGCACAATTTCTTGTTCTGTAGCGGCAGCTTTATTGAGATGGTCAAAGCCATCAATTCCAAATAAAATGAGTAAGTTAAATTAGTTTTACTTAGTGCTGTTAGATGGTTAAGTCAAATGGGAGAGTGTAAGTCCTTTTTGCGAAGAGCCAATTGCAGTGTTCAGATTTCGAAAAAGTGGCCAATAGTAATTACTGTGGCATAATAAAGCTAACGCAAAGTCGTCAGCGAAACTGAAACCGATGCACCGATGAGTGCAAAGAGCAGACGACTAGAGTGACGTCACTGTTCAAGACAACGATTACAGATGCGCACTTCTTCCGCGTTCATTAACGCATGTGCGCCATGCGCACTATTATTGCCTGCGATGCACTCACAGCCACCCAACTAAATCATTTCGTGGTTGAAAAGCCCTTATTCTGGACGCCTCCAATGAATGCACAGTTTGTGCTTTTCGGCGTTTCGGTTTCGCCACACAATATGGTACGATTTCACTGCTTCGTAGTTATTCGCCGCTTTTTTTAAATCTCAAAACTGCAATGACTTCTTTGCATGAAGGACTTAAGTTGCGCCATTAACTCTAACCACCTATATTTTCGCTAAGAAAAAAGGTAATCGATTTATTTGGCTTAATTATTATTCCAAATGATGCTTTGGGTATCTTAAGAAGGTTGTCGCCACAGAAAAAGAAATTGTGGCAATTGTGAAGACAGTGAGCAAAGACCTCATTTTCCAGATTTTGAAGAAATGTTGGCCACATATTTTTAAACACCAATATATATATATATATATATATATATATATATATATATATATATATATATATATATATATATATATATATATATATATATATATATATCCATGGTAGGTCATTACATATCTAGTATTAGCGGCATGCAAAAACGTTTGAAGCGCCCTCTAAGCAACACAATCTTTTTTGCGAAATATAACGCTTCAATAACTACCTATAACATTCATATTTTTTCACATGATCGAAGATGCAAAATGTCCGCCCACACTTGATATATAATGACAAACATATATATATATATATATATATATATATATATATATATATATATATATATATATATATATATATATATATATATATATATATATATATATATATATATATATATATATATATATATATATATATATATATATATGGCTACAGTAGCGATGCCATCAGCTGCGTCACTTCCGTTCACATGCCAAACATGACATCACACAGACAGTGTTACCAATAATTCTGGCCAGCGAAGGGAGCTTTTCTCGCCCCCCTTGCTCAATGTCCCTACGGGAACCTGTAAGGTAGTGTGAATAAATAAATAAATAAATAAAAATAAGCAACGACTAGAAACACACAAAGGAAGAAAAAATGAAAGGAAAAAACGAAGTGGGTGTAGGGGGGAAGTTAGAGCGAACAGGCGGGGAAAAAGAAACAAAAAGAAAAGGAGACGGAGAGAACTTTCTGGGCTGGCAACGACCTTAACGACGCGCGGCAGGAGTGGTTTCAGAAGTGCGGAAAGATGAAAGAGATCAGTGGTTGAAAGGTTCTAGAAAATAAAAACTTAGTACTTGTATGTAGGTCTAAGCATATCTATATTTAAACTTTAAAAATATAAAGACAATATTATCAGTACAATATGTAGGCTAGGAGCGATTTCATCTAATACCGGTTATGTATATTGGAAGGCTGAACGTTTCTTGGCTCTAAATACTGCCGCAATTTTGCTATGGCTTTCATCGATTCCCAATCACCACGTGCTACAATGATTCCTGATGGGTGTATAAAGTTATAATTGTGTATTATAAAATATGATTCTATCTTTTTCCTCTCTTGTGGGGTCGAGAAATTAGTTTGTAGAACATAAAGCTTTGCTTAGTCCAAATTGTGCTCCTGTTGAATGAAGTGACTGGCTATGGCTTTTGGTAAATTACTTTATGGCTGCACGGTAGCCGATCAGTCTTACGTGAATTGGCTGCTCAGTTTCACCTATACATTGTTTTTTACATGTGGCACACTCAAAACAGTATATTAGGTTCTTTGAAGTGCATGTGAAGCTTGATGTCACCTTGTGAATGTAATCAGATGCTGTGCTTTTTACGTTGGTAGCCAGCTGTATATGTTTGCAGGTGGAGCATCTGCACTGGTCACAGGGACCAGACGTTATCAAGTCTTTGATTTAAGTTTCGCGTGAACAAGCATGTCTTTGAAGCTAGCGTTGCGTCTGTAGGCGGCCTTAGGTTGTTTGGAAAAATTTTTCTTAAGTTTCTGGTTGGTTGATAGAACTGGATAGCATTTTGTGAGGATGTTGTTTATCTTCACGAGTGCATTAGAAAACTTTTGTAGTGGGAAGAGGCGAAGTTGCTGTTGTTGTACTTTTAGAGCGTGTTTTGAACGCTTCATTGCAGTCCAGTTCCAGTGCGTCCTCAATGGCTTTGTCAAAGAATGTATAAGGAGGGTTTCTTAAGGATAGTGTTCCTTTTAGGGTGGTAACTCTTTTTACGTAATCCTCGTTTTCTGTGCATATGTGGCATAACCTTGTTGCCTGACTCTTGAAAATGCCCTCTTTACAGTGTCTCGGGTGGTGGCTTGTATAATCTGAGTATTGTTGCTTGTCGAATGATTTTTATACACGTCTTCATACAACTGGGGGCCATCTTCTTTTGTTTTTGTAAAATTTAATAAATTTTTCTCAAAAAACCACAAAAATTTAAAACGGTGATTAAAATTAGTGCGTCTTTACAATGTCGAAGTACCAAACGCGGAATCGTGGGAAGTATGGTTGATACTCCGGCTAGCTGCAGAAGGGTGCTATTTTAGGCTTCTCATCCCGCCATTATTGCTGTTAAAAACGTTGTCCTCTGCCATCACAGCATCATATATACAACTTGGTTAATACTAATCAGCGTCGGCTAATAAACACACCGACTTGGACGGTCACACATTAGAGTTTCCTAACGTTAACTAGAGGAGACTCTGGTGCTGCGATTGTTCAGCCACCGAGGAAATGATTGGTAGTACACGGATTTGCCTGGTCTTCATGCCCACGGGCTTCTAACGCACTTGTGACTTTCTTATTTATCGTTCTTGGCCTTTGTTTTGGATAAAATAACCGACCGTTGTGAACTTCAAGAGTACATTAGAGTTGGTGAGCCTAAAAAAGTCAAGTGGGGAAGCGTATGCTGCTAAAACTTTGCTGAACTTCGCCTTGCTGTAGAGCGGATTCAAGACACGAAGTGAAACGGACCTGAAAGAATGAAGATTAAAAACAAGTCCGTGTACTACACATAATTCCCATACGGGCTGAAGCACCGTACGTTTTAACTGCTTTAGACCTTAGCCCAAGGGTTCCCTCTAGTGTATTTTTTAGTAACGCTATGATTCCCGCCGTGAGCGCCTGGAACTCACCGTCTCTGTAGCCTACACTCCCTTTCTCTAAACTCTTTACTAACAGAGAGTGGGTTTCCGGGTGAGGAAAAAAACACAAAAATAAGTACCGCCTGGGTTTTTTTCTTTGCTGGCGTGTCCCATTCTCGACTACAGAGGACTCGCCTTATACTTCCTTCCACTAACAAGACTGCCTTACATTGTCTAGTGAGAGACCGTATTTAAGAGAAGTAGTGCAAACCCACATGACGTTCACAGAAACCGCCAAAGAGAGGCGCTGTTGCCAGGAATTCCTACCGGAACTGAATTACCAAAGTAGGGGATAACTGCTTTTCGCAGGCAGTTCTTTTGACAGCTTGAGTCACACGCATATGCCTTATGACTCAGAAAATTATCATGAGCTGATCGCAAATAGTTAAGTACCATAAACGTTTCTTATGGATAAAAACGTTTCCTCTCTCTCTCCCTCTCTATGAGAGCAAGCAGAAACACGCATGCATGCATGAGTAGAAACTTTTTTTTTGCATGAGCCGCTACAAGTTCTTGCGAAAGGGAAATATAACGATTGCTAGTTTTAAAAATATCTGTTAAGTGTGAAAGACTGAGGTGGTAACAATACGATGCACGTGCTATTGCAGTTGACGGAAGTACGCGGCTCGTCTTTTATAAAGAAACTAAACTGGGATCTTAATTGCCCCTTACAGAGTTTGACCCTGAGGTGTTCTCACCCCTTGCTTTTTTTCTAGCCTGTTCGTTTTTCACACGCTTTCTTTTGTCTCCTTGTGTCGTTCTCTCACGCCAGCCCTTCTCGCAGTGACGTCGCAAAAACAAAAACACCAACAGAGGAGCCATTCTTATTACCGCTGACCCTGGCCAAGTAACCTGCTTGACCGGGGCCACTCTGATACGAAGAAGGAGGGAAACGAAAAATAAAAAAAATAGAAAGCTTAAACAAAAGCGAAAATCGAGAATGTGCACGTCTTCTTTCCCCGTGGACCTAATCTGCCTTTGCATCACACCGCAGCTTGCGCGCCCGCATACTCACAAAAAAGGGGGCGCTCTCACTCGACCGTTGTTCATATGTCGTGGTTACCCTTGCGTGCACCACAAGCACGTATGCGTTAAGTATCACTGCTCGAAAGTGCACCAGGGTCAGTTGCACAAAAACTGCTTTCTATCCAGTTCCGCGCAAGATTTTGTCCCGCGGAGAGTCACTCCGAGCGTTCCCACGTACAGCATCCAGCCTATGGGCGATATCATGAGCCACGGGATATCGTCCGCCAATTGACGTTGCTTCGAATTGTCCAAGTTATTAAGCACACACTTTCGTCATCAAGCAAGACGTCCGAATTTCCGTAGTTTCGGAACCTACAATTTTCCTCTTTACTGGCTCTATGGAAGATTTTGCGACACGGTGATGTCGAGCTCAAAAAGCTGAGTAACTTTTAGCGCCAACCAAAAAGGACAAAACGCAATCAATTTGCTCGACGTTCTGTATAGTACATCGGTCTTCAGTAGAACGTGCTTCACGTGTGTTCCCACTGAGAAAACGACGCACCGACGTTTCGCTCTCTTAGTCCTCTATATATCCTATTGCCCGAGACATGTTTGTGCAACTCTCTTCGGAGTATTCGTCACTGTCGTCGCAATTCAATGTTCTACTGGCGCGAGTATCACCCTGGCTGGTCGCCCTCCTCGCATGGGCCTTCGTGGTCAGGCCGCTGGTGCAGTGGCTCAAGATATGGGTGGCTCTGAGGCCTATACCGGGCCCTTGGGACGGCATTCCTTTTTGGTTCTCCGTAAAGGCCTACTGGACCCACCGGAAGATAATCGGGCTCAAGGACGCGACCGCCGGTGAGTGTCTTTTTTTTCTGAGATGGTGCTGAGACGGTGATTTTTGACGTGTGTGTTTTCATTCGTCAAAATTCTACAGGGTTAATACGCCTTGCAAGGCGATATTCACGGCGAGCGCGTGATACAAAGTATTATGGTAAAATTATGTTGTACACAACAATCTTCACAACGCAGGAAGATGGGGCTACTCAGTAAAAACTACCAAAGCAAATGTGCGTGCGGCTTGAAGTGAATCTGCTCCACATAACAAATTAAGTAGAGAAATTATGTAGCCTCATCACTTGATGACCATAATCTGAATGCCAAGAAAGGTGACTGAGATAGCTTGTGATGCATATGAACAGCTAAGAGCGCACCAGAAAAAGCAGAAAATTACAAGCGGACGCAAAGCATGCACACGGAACCAGCGCTTGTCCCATGTGAATGCTCTTTCGTTCCTGTCTGTTCACTGCTGATAGGTATCACAAGAGTTCTCTTGGGCAAGAGGTAAATGAAGGTACGCGCATCGTGAGAAACTGAGATTTTTTACACTCTACTAAGAGAGCCGCGCCGGGAAACGTGATACCCAGTGTGACATGACCACTTCATTGGTATTTATTCCTTCAAGACCAACTTTGACAATTTTTCGATCATTTTAAGGCAATGGTGGTTTTATATTCCTGTGATACTCTTTTTACGATCCCAAAAGCTAAAATGCTCAGCAAATTCACAAATATTCATAAGCAAAACGGTGCAAGACTGAAACCGATACCCGACCGGGTGTTCAGTTTGCGTGTGACGTACTATTCGGTAAGAACTCGAAGCTGTATACTCGTCCCGCGCGCGACTAGTATAAAAACTGTGAAGGCCAGAGAATCACCAGCCAAACACCACAGAGGAAAGAAGAAAGCATTCCTGTGCTATACCCGTTTCGAACACCACCGCCGTCGCCTTGTGGACAGCACAATAAATGCTGTAGTGGCCAAAGTAGCAATATCATCAGCTGCGTCACTTCTATTCACAAGCCAAACATGACGTGAAACAGACAGTGTTGTGAATAATTCTGGCAAGCGAAGTGAGCTTTTCGAGTAAATCTTCCAAATTCATTTGCAAACAATCAGCGCAACTCTCCAGCCTGTAATTTGTCATAAATCACGACAATGTGCAAAAGACACGTGCCAAGCAAATTTATTTCAGATTCATTGAGCTCGACAAAATGCCGGGTTTGGCCTTCAAAAACTCTGTGATTAATCTGATAAGTAAGCATAATTGATTGACTGATATGTAGGGTTTAACGTCCCAAAGCCACCATATGATTATGAGAGACGTCGTCGTGCAGGGCTCCGGAAATTTCGACTTTTGGCGTTCTTTAACGTGCACCCAAATCGGAGCGCATGGGACTAAAACATTCCCGTCTCCATCGAAAATACAGCCGCCGTAGCCGGGACTCGATCCCGCGACCTGCAGGTCAGCAGTCGAGTACTTTAGCCACTACACCACCATGGTGGAGCATAGATAAGCATAAAGCCACTCGTTGTAGAAATACCCACAAAAGCGTCTGGCTGTAGTTGTGTTACCCAATATCAAGTGAAAAAAAAACAATTACGCATTATACCCTTCTATACACACACACACACATATATATATTGCCGCGCGCTTGAGCTGCCAGCGCAAAAGAGGCAGACGAAGTGGCAGTTCCCCTCGTGCCATTGTTCTGTTTTTGGCTGCGCTGAGCCGACCGCTCTTCGGACTTTTGTGAGGACGCCTTAAAAACGTCTCCTGTCTCTTTAACGTGACATTTTAATGGTGGAGGTGCGGGGTAACCTCCCCTATGCAACAGACTCCTTCTAGCAGCCGGAACGTGACCCAAAACCCAGAGCTTACGCCGGTACACCGTTTCAGTCGGAGGATTCGAGGACTGTCCCCCGAGTTTGTGCCTCACAGTACAAGTACGTCGACTGGTATGGAGAATACTGTTGCTGTCACCGCTTCCCCTACCGCTGGAGCCGCCGCTGCTCCAACCGCTGCACCCGCAGCTGCACCCACTCATTACACGCTACAAAAACCACGTGTTCCGAGTCCCTTTCGTGGTGGCCTCTATGAAGATGTGGAAGATTGGCTGGCTGAGTACGAGTACGTAGCGGATTTCAACGGGTGGGACGAAGTAGCGAAGCTCAAGAATGTGTACTTTAGTCTTCTGGATGGTGCTCGCACATGGTTCCAGAACCGCAAGGGCCTCCTAACGTCGTGGCATGAGTTCTGTCACAGGCTCCGCGAAACGTACTCGAGTCTCGATCGTCGAGAGCGCGCTGAAAGGGCCCTCCAGTCCCGCATGCAGATGCCTAATGAAGGTGTGGCTACATACGTGGAGGATATGGTTCATCTGTTCACTCGCGCCGATCCAACCATGCCGGAAGACAAGAAGCTGCGACACTTGATGCGAGGTGTGAAAGAGCAGCTCTTCGCTGGACTCATTCGTAGTCCGCCTAGAACGGTCGCGGAGTTCCTCACTGAAGCCGTCGCCATGGAAAAGGCGCTGCAGCAGCGGAACCAGTACGATCGGCAAGTGAATGCTACCTATACCACCGGGCTAGGCTCGTTCCCGACCGACGTGGGAGCGCTTCGCGAGCTGATACGTTCGGTTGTTCGCGACGAGCTACAACAGCTGCAACAGCTGAACCAGGCGCAGCAGCAGCCTTCCACGAATTGCATCGCCACCATCATACGTGACGAAGTTCAGCATGCGCTCGGCACACCTCGCCGCGAGACACCAACGCAGGTTGCTGCACCACTTCAGGCGTTCGCAACTTCAAGTGAACCTCTAGGGGTGACCTACGCAGACGTATTGAGACGCACCGTTCCGTCGTCCACGACACCATCCCCAGTGAGTGGTTTCCAGCGCACCACTTATACCGACACGTTCGAACACAACGCACCTGCACCAGTCCCACTACCAGCCGCAACCCCGTACGCCACACTGCAGTCCGCACAGGTGGTCCCTTATTTTGCAGACACTCGACCCGTCATGCGTAAATCCGACATATGGCGCATGCCCGACCGACGACCGCTTTGCTACCACTGCGGTGAAGCGGGTCACCTCTACCGAGACTGCCAGTACCGCCGACTTGGGCTGCAGGGTTTTCCTGCCAATTCACCCCGCCCCCGGTTTGGACAGAGACCACCAGAAATTGAAGATTTTATCGCTCGGCAGAACGTCCCACTCAGGCGTCAGTCGCGCTCACCGTCACCGCGGTCGTCATCTTATTCAGGCAACGGAAATCGAAGGCCGCAAGGACGGTCTCCGAGCCCTCGCCTGGAAAACTAACGCCAGCGACCTTTCGAGGCGAGGCCGCTGATTCTCGACGTGATGAAGACCTCGCCCTCCAATCGACGCGACATCGGACCAACGGAAATTCGACTACGCCGGCGCCTGTATCCCAGCTGAGCGACTTTTCAATGGACATACCTGTGCTGCTCGACGGTCGCAATTTAACTGCCTTAATAGACACTGGTGCTGACTACTCGATTATTAGCGGACAATTGGCACGTACCTTGAAGAAAGTGATAATGCCTTGGACAGGATCGCATGTACGTACAGCTGGCGGACATGTTGTAACGCCGGTTGGTTTGTGCACGTCCAGGCTACAAATACGAGGCTGCACGTTTTTGGTCAGCTCCATCGTGCTACGTGACTGCTCCCGCGAATTAATTCTCGGCCTCGATTTTCTTCGGGAATATGGCGCCGTAATCGACCTACGGCGACGCTGCATTTCCTTTTCGACAGTCAACGCTACGTCAAGGGACTCCAACCGCCGTACAACCGCCCTCCGTGTTTCCGACGACAGTGTCACAATACCACCTCGTGCAAGTATCCTAATTCAGGTGACTTCCGAAGGAACCAGTGACGGTGAAACAGTGGCAGAGTGCAACGTCTCCCTGCTGCTGGCGCTTGGAATTTCTGTGGCACGAGGCATCATTGACATTCGGAACGGTACAGCCGAGGTCATGATTACAAATTTCACCAATGAGCATCGTCACCTTTTCCGGGGCACTGCGGTCGCCTACGCTGAAGCCTTGGAGGACGTCATTGAGTGTTTTGCCTGTGAAGACAGTAGCCGCAATGGACAAACCGTAATAGATGTTGACATGAACAGTGCACTGCCAGAAGAGAACCAGAGGGCCTTGCGAGAGCTATTGTTTGAATTCAGGGCGTGCTTTGCTCAGTCGTCTAAAGTGAGTCAGACGCCAATTACACAGCACAGGATAATCACTTACGACGACGCAAGACCTATTCACCAACAGCCATACCGCGTCTCGCCGACAGAACGCGCAGCTATCAAGCAGCAAGTGAAAGAAATGATCGACGACGGCGTTATCCAGCCTTCGAACAGTCCCTGGTCCTCACCGGTCGTTCTGGTTAAGAAGAAGGACGGTACGCTTCGCTTCTGTGTAGATTACAGAAAGCTCAACAACGTCACAAAAAAAGATGTTTATCCGCTGCCGCGTATTGATGACTCGCTTGACCGACTACGACGAGCGAAGTATTTTTCTTCCCTGGATTTAAAGAGTGGCTACTGGCAAATTGAGGTTGATGAGCGCGACCGCGAAAAAACCGCCTTTGTCACGCCGGATGGCCTCTACGAATTTCGGGTGCTACCGTTCGGACTCTGCTCTGCGCCAGCTACCTTCCAACGCATGATGGACACTGTGTTGACTGACTTAAAATGGCAAAGCTGCCTTGTGTACTTGGATGATGTGGTCGTGTTTTCAACCAGCTTCTCCGAACATCTGAAGCGACTACGACAAGTACTTGAGGCGATTCGGACGGCTAACCTTACGTTAAAGCCGCAAAAATGCCATTTCGGTTACGAAGAACTAAAGTTCCTTGGACATGTCGTAAGTGCAGAAGGCGTCCGTCCTGACCCTGAGAAAACCGCCGCTGTCGCAGCCTTCCCGACTCCTGCCGATAAGAAAAGTGTGCGGCGGTTTCTTGGTCTATGCGCGTACTACCGGCGCTTTAT